ATTCGCGCGATGCGTGTGTATGCGTGACTTGAATATTTCATGACTAGCAAACTTCTATTCTGTTTTCTAATATTAGAGAACAACGACGATAATTGTCCCGTAATTTTCAACTCGCTTGATATTCACCGTTCTCGGCTTCGAGTCGTATCTTAACTCATATCCGGTCAAGGTGAGTCCAATGGACTCGTAACATTTTTTTTTTATTTTTTTTCTTTTCCTTTTAAATTATACATGTGCATTATATCGTAATCTTTATCTCAAAACTATGAATACGTAAATCTTCATTTTTTTAGTTAAGCATTGGAATAAATGTATTCCTTTTCTAATTATCGCATAGATAAAATACATTGTATAACCAGGACAAAAGTATCCAAGGATACGATACATTAAAAATACCTTTTAAAGCGAACATTTGAAAAGCGCAGCATAGAAATGCAAAGAATCTAAGGCCGTTTGCCTCGTGACGTTCTTTTCTATTTCTAATCGTTTCAAAGCTACAGCCAGCGTCCCAGTTAGACACGGGATATCCTGGTATATGATTTAAAAGCGGTAAACGTTCCATACCCCGCGATAGTTAACGAGGAATTGAACGATCTCCAAGAGAAATTAAAAGTAACCGCCGCCGCCGGGAAGAGTGACACCATCGTTACAGGTTTATATTTGTCCTCGGTGTAACTTGGCCTCCTCTTCCCAAGCATCTGAACTAGCGACGGGATGCAGTCCAATATGTAAATAGTTAGAAATTCAAATGAATCTCAATACCCATGTTTCACTTGATAGAGTTCAAAGCACTCGTAAATGGTTTTAATCTATCGCGTTTAAATTTGGGTCTACTTAAACGTACGGCTTTTCTCAAAATATTTATAGAGTGCGAATGTCTGAATCTACTTGTGAGACACTTGAGACGATCGCTAGTTTAGATCTCAGGTTGAGCAGATTACACGTATTGGCATTTCCACGAGTTGGCGCGAACCCTGGTCGCACTGTATTCCTATTTTGATTACGCACCCGAACATCTGTACGTAGGTGCACGAGTGCGTACTATGTTTAACTTACCTCGTCTAGAGCCCGAAACAGAAGAATATTCTTGACACTCTCGCTGAGCCTCTGTCGTTGCTCGTCGCTCTTCGGATGCACCATCTGCAACCAATGAATCGTCGTTAGTCATACAAAACGGGATCAAAGTTTTATGTATTTATGTAACAGAAATATTTCGAGTGTAACTGTTCTAATAAAACTCTCACCAATTCATTGTTTATCGTCTAATTAATACGCATGTACCGTCTTGGTCTTTTCCCTTTCTCCAATTACCGACTAACAAACGGGGAATAATTGAGTGTATAAACACGCTCGCTCAAAGTAGCCGCGTGGATTGTTCAGAAATTACGATCGTCACACGGCACGCATCGATATTATAACTTAATTGCAGCATGATCGATCGATAACGCTAGGCCTGAATATACGTGTCCGTTATAAAAAGAAAGGGTTTTCCATTAGATACGCGTGGGTAAATTGCACAGTACGGTAAGTTTAAAAAAAAAAAAAAGAGAAAAAAAAGGAAGAAAAATCGAGCTCTAACGATCTTACGTTTCGTTTACCAGCAGCCGATACGACAGTGAGAAAAATAAAATGTGACGACTCCCCGTTGAATTATTATGGTGGTACGAGTTTAGATTATCTTCTAGCTTGAAGGGTACTATCGATGTTCATAGGAAACGATACGTCGAAGGTTACTATTATTGCTCGGCCACAGATGTTCTGCATCCTCGATCGGCTTTTTTTAGAAATTCAAACCGAGGATAAACAAATCTAAATCGTGTTTCGTTTCGTGTTCTCTGACCTTTTCATTCGGACGGCGGCGCTGGCCAGTTTTAAAAAACGTCAATCGATCTTTCATTGTTTTTATCGTAGCTCTGTTTTTCCTTTTTTCCTTTATCTCTAGAAGAGGCTTCGGGTTTCAACCATTAGCTTGCTTTGTTTGCCACGTCGAACACCTGTTACTATGTATTGCAAAAGTAACGAGTTCTTTGCTGATCTACAACACGGCTGTTACGTGTTCTCCTAGTAAGAAGTAGCGCTTCAATTGATTCATCTGCATCCTAATAGCGAGATAATGTTGAACGCCAGTTTGAACGCGTGCAATTAACGATTTCACAAAGTTTCTCGGCGTATCTAGTTTGCAAAATCACAGCGTAGAGAGTTCAAGTTTTGTAGAAGATGAAACGACAAACTTAAAACACAGACCCTGCTCCGAGTGTTGGGTGACGTTATCTAATTACTCAGATTGAAACAGGATGGAAATTGAAAACCTTAGCAGAAGTAGATTTTCGAGCTGGGTCGTCAAACGGAACCAGATAAACGTTACAACTAAACGTCCACTAAAAACAGAATGGTTAATTATGAATAATGAAAATGAAAATATGTAACTTACTCTAGCAGGAATTTGCTATCGATAAATCAAACGCTATGACTAGAAAGAAAAATGATGAATTTAACGTTTCTCGCATGATGGAACTTTTGTTGTACCTTGTTGAGCAATTAAGTCGTTCGAGTAAATGACCCTCTAACTATTTTAAGCTGCGTATCACGTTTTTACACAAGGAATAATCAAATCGGCTACCTTCTACGTATGCGTGTGCATCTACGCGTACAGAGGAACATATTGCGTGATTCTGCTTGAAAGAACGTCTATATACGACTCTCTTGCATATCATTTTCCCCGGTTTCCGTTGGATCACCCGGTACGTTCGGATGCTTCTTCGATCAATTTGAACAGCCTCAGGTTCCCGATAATCGAGATCCAACGCTGCCTTTTGAAATGCTTTCGAGCAGTACGATCCCGATCTGACGGCCTTACCCGTCTCCCTCTTTCTTGCCGTCTCTCACCATTTACGAACACACGTTCACGTGTACGTACGTATATAAGATACATATGTAAGTCACGTCGGTACCAGGTTATCGAACACGCGCTCTGACGTCACAAAGGTACATCGCTCGCATCGCCGAGCAAAGTAAATCATCTCGTTTCGTCACCCGCACAGCCTGAGTACGGTGTTTCGATGGGAACAAAAAAAAAAAAGAAAAAGTTACATTCTATATTTCAGGAACGATATATACGGTGATCGTCACGGGTATATTCAGAGGATATAAAATACTGGCCTCAGTCGAAACGGTAACGTCTTCTGGGAACCACGTGCGGTTTCTTTCTCGAGCGATCCATCCACTCGTTCTGTTATTATTCGAACGAGTCATAAAGCATCCATATTTAGCTTTTATACGCTCCGTCCACGTGTCTGTCCTGTGTACGTATACATGTGTGTACAGATGGATAGAATCATACGTGAAACCCGTTTAGTTAAACCCTATCCCTTGTACTGTTCCGATATACCGGAGTAAAGGGATTTTTTCGATCCCTCCAATACTCGAACGTATTTAACTCTGAAAGACCCTAAAGTAAGCGCTCTTTGAATCGTCCTCCGCATCGTGGTCGATTCTTGCCGTGTGGTCCGATTAAAACTGAATCAATCGATTATCGATTCGATATGGCACGAGGATATACTATCGACAACACGGTTCCTTGCGTAATGTGCCGAAAAAATATAATAAGGAATGTAAGGGAATGAAAAACGAATGTCACTGAAAACAATGAAGAAACAAACAACAGAAATTTAGAAAGGAAGAAATTAACGCACCTTGACTCCATCGTCTTCTTCGTCTTCTTCAGGATTGTAAGCTTCGGCGAACACACTCTTCCTTCTGGTCGCGAACCTTCCGATCGGCGGTTCTGTAAGGAACGAAATAAATTTCAGTGTAAATAATTGTAAAATGTAAAACTGGACGGGCTGTTTTTTCTTTTTTTTTGTTTTTTTATCTTCAAGGTACAAATTCTAAAAATATTCCAACGAATCATAGATTACACGCGATAGTAATTGGAAAGAAAATAAATTTGAAATTTTTAAATTTGAAATTCGATAGAAAAACTTTGATCCAACACGGTTTCAACGCATACCGGTTTCCATTTGATATAATGCGTATGCAAATTTTTCACAAAGTCACACAAGAATCACTGAACACACCGCTGATATTTCTGACACAAAAGTTGTAGTAAAGTTTCGGAAGTTGATAGATTGTCGCTAAAGCGCGGTAAAAATCATAAAACGTAAGGTATATCGCACGGGTACCAGAGGAATACTGGACGCGATGGGAAGTCGCATCCCGAATGAAAATTCGCTGGCTTACCTTCATCGACGGACTCGTCCGGCGTAGAAGAGCAGGTCTGCGCAGGGGCCGGAATTATCTGAGTTTGACGGCTTTCCCGAAGTTGCGTGAAAAAACCTACGGCATAGTCGATAATATCCACTGGTTGCTCCAACAGATAGCTAATCGTGAACTCCAACAGAATGTCCCGTAGCTCGTCTGGCACTGTAATCTTGCCAGCGTTACGTTGACAACTCATTTTTTTCTTATACACCGACGAAAAAAAAATTGTTCGAACACCGCACACTACAATGGCATACACGCCGGTAACAGGCTTGGCAATGAATTCGAAACTAAAGTCTAATTGTATCGCCGCGGGTACGACGTTAGATACGATTCGATGTGTCACTTGTCAAATACCGAAATTTCTATCACGTACCGTAGCGAGAGGCCAAGAGAACGTAAGCCCCACGCGTTCCACCCACTTTCGCGCTGGGCTACACTCTCGGCACAGCTTAAACGCTTATCCGGTTTTGCCGAATCGTTTTGCCCCCTTTCGTCATCAACTTTCAACGATTTTTTTCTCCGACACTACATAAAGCTGCGCGTAACATACGACGGGCCAAATTCAGGGATGCGACCCAGTCGCAAAGATGGCGACTATTTCAAGGCGCGGGTCTTAACGTTAGCAGAAGGATCACGATAGATGTTTCATTGCTAAGCCCCAGGCAAATTTCATATTATTGCAACGAATGCAATTACATGAATTCTTGATCAATATTCGATTCTATGTCGCGATTATACGATTGTACGACTTTTAAAAATTATATTTATATACAGAATTCATTTAACCAATGAAACTTTTACTATTTGATATATCGCTCTGTGCAACAGTTCTCTTATTGGGTAACGAACATTTCGATTGTAACACAGTTGAACGCGTGTTGTGTATACGGTTTGACGAGTAATTATTTCTATTTCCTTGTCCTTAAGTCTAATTCTCATTGTTGCGCAACGCCCCCTACAGATATTTGTACGAATCAATTTCTGCTAAATTTGGATTTCGTAAGCGATTCTGTGTTCAAAGAGAGATATTTTTAGCCATGCTTTTAGTTAACACGTGCAACTTTCTGCGTGAAAAATAGAAGTAGTGTTAAATAACGTAGAGTTTATTTGTAACGATTATTTCGGTACTCACTGCAGATAATCCTCGATAGTATTTTAATGTCAATCTGTTATATTGACGTTTATTCCTTGGGAACAATAGGTTCACGAATATTTGGTTAACTCAGTGTAAACAAAGATAAACGCTCAATACAAAAAATGGCGGGAAAAGAGCAATTCGATGAATTTTTAGGTGGTTCTGAAAAATTACCAACTCAGGTACACATTATGAAACTCGTTTCCTCCAGAGCTAGTGAAATCGCCGCAATGACATATTCTATAGGTATGTCGCGTAATATTGTTATTAAAACGTAAACTAATTTCAAGAATGTCTACCATTAGTTGTCAATTACCAAACGTTCAAGTATATACCGTCGAATTAAAATTATTTATTTGCAGAAAATCCTCAACAAACGAAACTGGTTTTTCAAAAGCTTCCCGTCTACATGCGCAGGCGCATTATGTCTCATAACGTGAAACGGTTACCGCGCAGATTAAGGGAGGCACATTTGAATCAAATGATTAAATCCGGATTGCCGCCCAAAATTAAAAGGCCGTCGCGTAAATATCGTAGACGACCTCGCAACTTATTATCGGAGTACAATCGAAGACAACGAAGCAAAATTTGGCTGGAGACTCACATTTGGCATGCCAAACGTTTTCATATGACAGAAAAATGGGGCTACAGAATCGCGAGCTATGCAAATGATAAATGTTTTAAGGCCAATTACCGTGCTGTTGCTAAGCACTGCTTGATGCAAGATATTTCTTATTATACGTGTATTGAAATAAATGGTCCAGAGGAAATATTAAAGGATACCTTAAGAAGTCATTGCAACCCGTACGAATTAACATTTGCCGCGAAAATTTTTATCACTGGTGTTCGAGAAGGCACTATAATGTTTTTTAAAAAAAATGGTTATCCTAGATTTCCAATTGGTCATGTACACTTTTTATGGAGATCGAATCAATCTAATTTGAGAACAATTTGGATCTGGGTCCATCCGTCTTTTCTTGATGATTTTGTTGCCGAAATTATATGCAGTTTCGAATTTAAATCAAACGAAACTGAAAATGATTATTTTAACGAGCAGAATTGTAATATGAGTATTCATAAAAATACTTTAAATCGATTTCGATTTTACGGTCCGCTGACGATCAGCGTTCTAACAAATGCTCTTCATTTACCGAGATTCGATAAAGGTTTATTTTCTGAAAAAAATTATGAAAATGTGATAGAAACTGAGAAAGACCAAATGGATTATGAAGAAGAAATTCAAGAACCTAATAAGTCATGGCACATTGAATATTATGAAAATCAAGAAAACATCGAGTATTTAAAAATTCAAAGACAATTATGGGATGTATTGAAAACATTACAGTCTCCTAGTCAGTTGCCACCAAATATTGTTCTTGGTTTTACAGTCTTAGATCCAAGATTTCACCTGCCTCAGAAAAGAATTAAAGTGCAGAGAGATGTACAGGCAATTGAAATGATGCCAGTGCCTCCTACAAATGCAAATTTAAGCCCAATTTGGGAGAAAGAGATACGAAAAAAAGTTAGTAAAGGTTGTGTAACAACAAGTGCAATCAATAAGTTAAGAAGCAAGTGTTTAGTACCAGGTGTAGATAATGATAAATACTTTGACGAAGGAATCATGGCAAAGATCCCTATACTTATAATTCAGAAACCTGGAATTGGTAATACAGGTAATCTTTGGTAGCATTTTAATTTCAGCATAAATATATTTCAGACTAATGAATATGTTATTTTTATAGGCCTAAGTTCCAGTATAGATATTGTACTACCAGCTAATTGGGCAATGCCATTTTGGCTTTCATGTATATTTCGTTGTGTAAGAGTTGGTGCACTCAGAGAATCACAATCTATAGCATTTGAATATGGAAAGATGCAGTCACCAGATATCAATGACCCAGACACACCTGCTTATGCACGAGAAGCATTAAGTACCAAGTTGGAATTAAGAGAAAAATATTTTCGTTATCCACCGAACAGGCGCGTGAATTTTATTAAACTTGGAATTTCTAGTCCTTTCTTTTGCGAATGGAAACTCTTAATGAAAGAATGGGCAGATACAGAAGAATTTTTTGTACTAAGAAATCGTAAATTATTAAATTTGTTACAAAAAAGTTTACCAGTTAAAGAAACTAATAGAAGAAAGTATAATAAATCGAGTAGCCGTATAACAGATCTTACCGTACACGATGCATTTATAGATAAAAATTGTCTGGTTCGTGTTAAAATATCTATTTTACAAAAAGGATGCCCTAAAAGATTTGCAATGATATGTATGCCAACAGTAGAGGACGTAAACAAGTTTCAACAAAATAGAAAATGGTCAGGTCCAGTTGAAAAATTGAATAATGATCCGAATGAAACTGTTCGAAAAAATTTACGAAAAACTCACTTAACTTGTTTGAAACGTTTGAAAAGACAAAGGATACGTTGTAGAAAGACATTAACTAATAACTTGAGCAAGATGTTAAGTAAAAGCTTCCTAGCTATCGATTACGAAAATAAAATCAAAAATTTATTAAAAATAAGTCACACAATGGTGTGTAAGAACTACGAAAAGATGTCACAGTTGTATCTTCCAGACTGTACGAATGTACGGCATTCCTGTGATAGAGAAATTATGGGCTATCTAACTATGGGCGATTTCTCCTTTGCAGAAGCAAAAGGCATAGGTTTTGGATATGTAACATTAAATTCCTTAATTGATCTGATTAACAAAAGATACAATTTCGTTCTTGTCAGAAACATTCAAACAAGGCAGTATAGAATTGCTAGCTTAGATATAATAAGTTAACAAATGTAAACGAGTTATTATTAATGAGAATGTAATATGAAATGTAATGAAACATAATGAACGGCGCACTGTTTTTAAGATTTGTTTTTTGAAATGTATATATGTACATAGTTCTTATCTAAATAAAAAATGTTCACTACCGAGAGAAATTATAACCATTGCTATTACTGATAACGTAGATAAACAGTAAGAGATTAGATACAATACATGTGTGTATTTATCATTAAGTCTGATAAGGAGTTGTAGAAAGTCTATTAGAAAGGTTGGCATTATTGAGGTATTATTTGATTATAACCTGGTTAGAACATTATTTACATTTGGTCAAATAAGCTTTTGCAAAGATCGCATAAAAATGACACGGGTAGCTGTGGTAAGTATATACATCATAATTTATATAGTCTAAAAATCATATACAAATATTAAATCATTTTTATAACCATATGCATTGCTCATTATTTCGACCTTTTAGGTAACTGGAGGAAATAAAGGCATTGGTTTTGCCATTGTAAAAGCGCTTTGTAAACGATTTGATGGAGATGTATATTTAACTGCACGTAATATTACTCTTGGGCAAAATGCTGTTAAAGAATTAGAGGGGCAGGGTTTAACACCAAAGTTCCATCAACTTGATGTTACAGATGAAAATAGTATTTCTGTTTTACGTGATTATTTACAGAAAACATACGGAGGACTTGATGTTTTGGTCAACAATGCTGCAATTGCATTTAAAGTAATTATATTCGTTAATTTACTATATGGTTTTTTTTTTTGTAAATATGTATATACATTTTGTTTTGTGTATAGACGAAGGCTACAGAACCCTTTTCTCTGCAAGCTGAAGAAACAATAAGAGTAAATTATTTTGGCTTAAGAAAAGTTTGTAGCATACTTTATCCACTGTTGAAACCACACGCACGTGTAGTGCATTTATCGAGTTCTGCTGGCCGTTTATCATTAATTCCTGATGAATCATTGCGTAAACGATTTTCTGATCCAACTCTTACTGAAGAGGAATTAGATAACATCATGCGTGAATTTGTTAAGTATGTTGAATTATAAAATTAATTAATTAATATGTTGTCATAGGTTATACATTCTAACATTATGGTCAAAATGTCCTTTCAGTGCTGCTAAAGCAAATACACATTTGGAAAATGGTTGGGCAAATTCTGCATATGTAGCAAGCAAAGTGGGAGTGTCTGCTTTAGCTAGAGTTCATCAAAGGATGTTTGATTCAGATTCTAGAGAAGATCTTGTAGTAAATTCTGTACATCCTGGTTATGTAGACACTGACATGACTAGCCACAAGGGAACTTTAGCACCTGATCAAGGTGCTGAAGCTCCCGTATTCTGTGCATTACTGCCAGAAAATACAGATATAAAAGGTAAATATATTTGGTATGACAAATCATTGGTAGATTGGACAAAAGATGCATAAATTCAAAATAATTTGATTTGGCATTATATACGTTTATATACTTGTTATCTGTATCAAAACATTAATAAATATTCTATCACATTATTTTATATTTCTAAATGTTTCTGCATTTTAGTCACATCTATATGATTTAACATTCCTGTTCTTCATACAGCATAGCATTCGCAATGAAAAATCAAGTTTCTTAATACTACATATAAATTCACATAAAATTATAACTTGTACGCTTATGTATTATTGTTGACTTCAGTAATATAAAATAAATGATTTTTAATTCTATTAACACTATGAACTATCTTGCTTGAACTGCCGCTTCTTTCCGTGCAGCATCTTGTAATAATTGGGTATCCACCTCATCTCCTGGTAATTGTACATATCGTACTACCGATCCACGAATAAAACAGTTTTTTACGGACAACTAAAATATAATTTCAGTTCATATCATAACCTTTTCCATACTAAGCTTAAAATAAAGATTATGGAAGTTACAAACCATGTGAGGGTATTTATCCGGGTCTGTTACACTTATATCAGTTAATTTTATGTTAAGATACTGATCTACGGAATGCAGAGTGCCGCAAATACTGGAAACAAAGACTATTAGATTATATTTTTCAACATTGTTAGACAATTTTTTTCTGCTGAACTCACCTGAGGTCATTTTTTAATTCTACAACCACGTCCTTTCCAATTAAGGACTTAAAGAATGAATAGAATAACTATAAAATATAATGAAATAAAGTTGCATGATATTGTTAAAAAATAGATAAAGGTTAACCCGCCAAACGGCAAACCATAAACTTACCATCTTGAACCAGTAAAAAAAATATTTAATTGCTGTTTTTCGACTGTACTATTTAATTAACATAATGCAAAAATGATTATTATTTAAATCGAAGATTAAGTACGATTCTATTACTAACAAAGTTTTTATAACGACTCCGTATACGTTAGGAGTTTGGAATCGTTTCGTTGTATACCGGTTCCAATGTTTTTCTTAACCGGTGATTTTAATAAAAAATAGTAATCTTTATTTTAACTTATGAGTAAACTATATATACTTATTGATAAAATTTTAGATAAAAGATAAAAGTTAAAATGTTATTCGATAACATTATACCGGTGACTGATTGTATTTACTATATAAAACATTTCAACTGTATCCTACATTTCATTTGCTCATGTTATACTTGCTGATTGGAGTTCTCTTATATTACCTACACCTCAACCAATCGTTCTTTGTACAATAGACTTAAGGAATTTCGTCAATAACGTTTTATCAAAATACATTTTAGCATACGTTGTTGTGCTTGTGTGGGTGGTTTAAATATAATCTGAATTATTTGTTGGTGAACTGATTTATAAAAATATGTTACCTACACAGTAAGATCACCGTTTTGCGGTTGGTAACAGAAGGGCGTTGACATTTAATCAAAAAGGCAAAACGCGAAGATGCGTCTGTGACATTAATTCGCTAGTAACGATTACATTTTATTCTTACAGTCGATTTTAGATTAATTAATTGAGAAACATGTCAATTAATTTAACAAAAAATAAAGACGCTTTGGTGGGTGCTTGGCAGAACGTAGTCGACGATAAATCGTCTACTAACTGGTAGGCTTGCACTTTCTTCCTTTTATGCTATTTCATCGTCCCGGCTATGCCCATTCACACGAGTCATAGAAAGAACACAAATGTTCAATTAAATTTATCAATAAATAGTTTTCCTATGTTTCATAAATCCTATTTTCACCTTTATCGATCGATATAAGTAGCGTAAGGCACGCGATTAGTGCTTACAGTAGCGAAATATGTATTCTATAATGTTCGTAGATGCATGCATTAAAGAACTGTATTTAAATTTTTTTAAATGAAATAGAAACATTTCTTTGTAAGAAAGATCAATAATACTTTGAAAATTTTACAAACATTATAAAGTACATTAATCAGGTAAATGTTATTCATAGGGCTGTATTTGGATATGAAGGACAAACTAACAACTTAAAAGTTGTTGGTACAGGCAATGGTGGTTTAGAAGAAATGATTGACCGTTTAGATAGTAGTCATATCATGTATGCCTTTTGCCGAGTAATAGATACTAAAACCAGTTTGCCAAAATGTCTTTTAATAAATTGGGTAAGAATATGAAAATGAGGGGCTTTTTAAATTGTACTTGAAGTAATAATAATACCACAATATTAATTCTATATTGTAATATATATTTCAGCAAGGGGAAGGAGCACCAATTGTTAGAAAGGGTACATGTGCAAATCATATTAGAGATGTAGAAAAATTATTGAAAGGTGCGCATATAACGCTTACTGCTCGTTCTGAAGATGATGTTGAAGTAGATTCCATTATGGAAAAACTTGCTAGAGCAACAGCTTCTGCTTATAAATTTAATGAGCCTCGTGGTGAAAATGAGGGTAATACAGCCCCAGTTGGTACCACATATCGCAGGTACATATCTATGCTGTGTTGTATATAATTATATTAGAACTCTGGATTAGAAGAAAATGTATATTGCAGAGTAATTCCTGAACAAGAAATAAATGCAAGCGAACGTGATCAATTTTGGCAAAGAGAAGAAATGGAGGAGAAAAAAAGACTAGAACAGGAGCGTCTTAAATGTGAAAAAGAACGTCAAAGACTTGAAGAAGAAATAAAATCTAGAGAGGAAAAGGAAGCTTTGCTCAGAGAACAGAAGGTAAATAAATGTATTTACAATGTTGTATTGCATTTAAAAAATATCGATGTTTTTATAGGTCACTGCTAAGGAAAATTCAATAGCACGACAAAAATTGGCTGAGCAACGTGCCGAAGCGGCAAACAATTTTCGTAATCAACTAGCAGCAAGTCAACATTATAGCAATGATACCGATGATGATCATAAATCACGAAGCGAAGAATTGCGACGGCAAAGGAGTAAAGAGACGCAGCAATTGATATCTCAAAGAACGATAAATGCGCGAGCCATTTTTGAACAAAATTCAGCGGCTGGTCAGATGAAGTCATCTTCGGCACAACAACAATACGTACCGAAGAACAGTCACGTAGAAGCGGCCAAAAGGGCATTTGAGGAAAATCAACAACAGGAATTATCTCATACAATGGTACAAGAGGAAGTAAAAACGGAACCGAATAAAACGCATAATGTAGATACAGTAGTTAATGCTGCCTCGAATATATCTTTAATTCAAACACAGTCTCAAGAAACGAAAGTAGCAGAGACACAACAGGAACCTGAGCAGGCATCATTGATGAAAGAAGTAGTTACTGAAAATGAATTATATAGCCAAATGGATGGCCAGTACTTATATTTTGATCCAAATAATGAAGGAATGAAAGCAAGAGCCTTATATGATTATCAGGCAGCTGATGATACAGAAATTACTTTCGATCCCGGAGATATTATTACGCACATAGATGCTATTGACGAAGGGTGGTGGCAAGGTCTTGGACCTGATGGAACCTATGGACTTTTTCCTGCTAATTATGTTGAAGTTATCGAATATAACACAACATGATAAGAAATGTACTTGTGAAAATAGATTGTCCCCTTTTCTAATTGAAAAGACACTATATTTGCTTTTTGCATATAACAAGTGATATTCAGTATTTTTGTGGTTCTGGTGACTGCACTTCTTTTTTTCGATAAAAACGTTGGACGTTATTTATGTAGGCACGACGTATCCCGAGGAATGTAAGAGAATGAATTATGTTTTAAGTATTTAATGCACATTCAGTAACGAAGGAATTTAATATTTCTAATAACGAGCACGCGAAAAACGAATATTGTTGATATTTTAGCGGACAAGTTATTAAAAGTGAATAGTCTCACAATGCCAGCTCATAAATAAATGGCGAAGTACGTCTTCCCATATTCAACGTCACAAATTAAATAAATTAGTGGCAAACAATATATCTTTTTATAACGTTCTACGTCGAAAATCGATGCGCTCATAAAAATAGCGTGTTTAACAATTTAGCAAATACCCTTAAACATATTAAACTTATTTAGGAATATGTTTAATTCTTTAAATAATAAATTAAATTTGTTATAGTATACATTTGACGATATTTTAGCCTGAAATACCTTTTCATTTCATCAATTTTGCATCATATAACAAAATACGAATTTTCATTTCATACGGACACGTTGGAATTAAGAATCAATATTAAATCGATTGTATTAAACTTATTTTACTATATGACATAGAAATTTTTACAGGTGAGTGATTTTATCGAGTTAAAATAGAATCACAATATCGATCTTACATAAATAAAATAAGTAAAATCATCTGCGATAATTTTGATTTTGAGTTCCACTTCCACTACCCCCAGCATGACTTAAAAATGCTAAATGTCCCTTTGGACATTTATTTGCATAATGACCTTTAGTTCCACACTTGTAACAAGTTACTTCCTCGAGCGGTTTTTGAGGACCCCGCGGAGGAGGTCCATTGTGCATATTCATATGATGTGCTGCATGAGAATTACCTTCTATTTCTTGTCTAACTTGAGCTTCACGCACATCAGGTGGCATTTTATTACAATAAATAGCTTTGTGCCCACCCTCTCCACAAAAATGACAAGTAATCATTACCTTTTTACCCTCTTTAGGCTGCATATCTTGTACCGCTGGTAATTCAAATCTTGGGCTATAATAGAAATCATTATAGTATACCTTAAATCTAATAGAAATTCAAATAAAAAGTTAAACTTGTGATGAACTTACTGCATGAATTTACAATTTGGACCATCAGGACAAAACCCAGCTAAATATGCCATACATAAAACACGACGCACGTGTCGATGTCTGCATAGTGGTCCATGTCTACAGAATCCTCTATCGTACCAAGGACAATCTCTAACTTTTGTTTCTGGATCGATGTGTAAGAATGGGCATTCCTTATTGTGACAAGCATCTAACAATTCATAACTGATTTTAACATACCTATACTGGGTGAACTTAATAATACCATTAAAAGAAAAAAGTATTAAAAAAATATAGGAAAGAGCTTATTTACAGGCTTATGATAAATGTATATTTAAATGGTAAATAAATTTTATCATGTTTCAACTATACTTACTGAACCTAGAATAAAAGTAACATTCTGGCATTTTTGTCATATCATATTCATGTAAAAATTCACATTGATCACCCTTCTTACAAAGGCCTCTTAACCAATGTTTGCATACAATTGTACGATCTCCTCTTACATGCCGAAATGGACAAGAGGCTCCTTTAACACAAGTTCCTCTTGGATAAAATTGGCATACTGCAGCAGTAGATTCTAAAAAATAAAACATTTTGAAAGCTGATATTAAATAAATTAACAGTAACTAAATGTAATGTAAATATAAATAAAAAGCAATAATATTGTATAAAAAATTATTAATGAAATACACAGTTTTTATTTAATACACAAACAACAGTGATATTCATTATTTTTAATTAAACTATTTCGATATATTTATACTGTTAGCTTTCTTTACATTCATGGCATAACCTAGTTAAGTGTGTTAACAATACACATAATTATTACGTACTGTCCATTCCTGTAAAAGGTAAAGGAAGAGCTCCATACTGTTCATCGAGAGCAACTTCAATATCAAATCGCATATTATCTACGTTTGCCACTATACACTCCATTATTATTTCAAGTTTTCCAACAGTCACAGTCAAATCACTCGTTTTCTGAATACACAACAGTCATTTCCATTTGTAAGATACTCTATAGTTTAATATTCATTTTCGGTTAGTTATGTGTATTTTAAAATTAGTTTTTTATCATTTCTCATTGAAAAATAATCGCGATTTGCACTATTTGTCATATAAAGAAAATTTGATAAGCATCACGTCTTGTTCTATGCAGAGAAACATCATTCCACACGTGTGTTGATAATAATCAGTGACTAACTGAAAGCGTCATCGCAGTTAAACGTTAGCGCTCTCTGTAAATTCTCGTCTACTATTATCTACTGAACGTTCTCGAAATAGAAATTCTCAATTTTTATCTAGTATACGTTAATTACCTTTTTATTGTTAATTTACTGAAAAGGCTCATAAAGGGAATGAAACTTTAAAAAGACTGCCACAAATTAAAATTTTTAAAAATTCGATCCTGACGCCATCTATACAAAAACGTCGCAAACTACTCGACAACTTACCGATTGACCTGAGGGGAACACTAGCACCACCTATCAAAAAGTAGCGGAACCTTCCTGTCGAATAGTTTGCGACGTTTTTGTATAGATGGCGCAGGGATCGAATTAAAAAAGTTTATGGCGGTTTTTTTAAAATACAAGTTTGTAAATACAAGTTTTTCAAGCAATTATTTTAATGATTTATCGGTCTTTTGCTGATTTTACTGATTTCTAAAAATAATAGAATCAAGTGGAGTCAAAATTGTGTATTTTCATTTGTGATTGCGACTGTGCTCTATACATGCTGACTAAACCTCACTTGGGGTTGTCTGGGACCCCCAAAATAATGATTCCTCGAGAACCAAGGAATGTTCAGTCTTTTTGTATCTGTAATCACGGTGTTACATCATGTAACACCGTAGTTTGGAGGGGGGGCGTTGCCAACTACTTCCGGAATGAAGAACCGTCCACTTTTTGGTACACGCGCAATGGAGAAAGAGCCATTTTGTTCGAAGAAACAACGTGGCAGCCGGTGTGCCCGGTATTCTTCTAACCATGAATATTCGTAAGTATTATCTAACTTTATACTATTTTTAAACTTTTTCCTAATGTATGTGAAAACGCGAACAAAACTATAGTATTCATACATCTTAAATGTATCATCTTACGAACCTACTGACCACGTTTTTCTAACGTGAATGCAATTGATTGTTTGAATAATTAGCACAACTTGACTATAACTTCTACTGGTTTAAAAGTATAAAATAACATCCACGCTTTAATACAAATTTGTAAATACTTAGCAGAAATGAAATTATTATATTCGACGCTACGCGGTAACTAAGCGAGTGCATGGATCCATTTCGATCCGAATGATACGCATAACTTGGTAATTCCACAAAACGTTGATCATAAGAAGATAAAATTATAAACAGTTTATTCCCTTCTTTTTCAGGCCTACTGTTATTAATTACCGTCACGTATGTAACTGTCTGCCTCTCAGCGGTAGAATTACTACAGTCAACAAATTCTTACTTAACAAAGGCTGATAGTGCACATTTAAAGAAAATTCTTGAACCAGGTTTAACATCAAATGATTTATCATTTGTATACTATGCTGTCCATGGTTATGGATTTCTTGGAGAATCTTTACCAAACAAGCAGGTTAGATAAGTGCACGAGTATAAGCATGTACATAGATATGTATGTAACTGTAAACTTGCCAATTTATGATGAAGAAATGCAGTAATTGACATATAATGATGTTTAGATTAGTCTTACTGACAAACTTTCTATATTAATATGCTCAAAGGATTAATTTGATGAAAACTTTATAAGATGAATATGTTTCAGGCTATCTGTGATTATCTAACAAAAGTTACAGAAGGTGACAATCTTACAACTGAGAATGCATTTTACATTGCATCTATATGGAAAACTATTGGAAGTTGTAAACAAAAACCTGCATCATCTATTGTAAAGGTATATACTTTTCTTCCCTACCTTTGTCTCTCTCTCCCTCTCTACCTCACTTTCAAACATAATGATGTTTTAAAAACTTTCGTTCTACTGCAATTATACATTGAAGAAAACTATTTTTACTGAATAAAAATAATAATATAAATTTTGAATCCTTTTCTTTACATTACAAATATCAAAGAGGAAAATCTTATTTGTTTAACCAGGTACTTATGAGTACAATAGAAAAAGATACTTCCAGTATTATGGAATTATATTATGCAGTAGATGGACTGACTGCTTTATCCGAGAAATTGCCGCGCGACAAGGTTGACAAAGTAATCAAAGCAGTACAAAGTACCCTTCAAAAAGATGACAATTTATGGAAGTACGATTTATATTATTAATATGCTCAATCTCTTAGTATTATAAGTTTTTTCAAATGAGTATTTTATGAACAGCCTAGGTTACACTTTTCACATCGCCTCGGATCTAGGAACAAGTGGTTCGTTCGCGTTGAATCGTATCGAAGATGCAATTATACAGGCTGACGAAGTAGATGGAAAATATTTACAATTTGAGGGTGGTCTTTCCGTGACTAGTAAGTATCTGAAACACTGCAGTTAATATTTTGTAGATACGTGATTGATTTTTTCTCGTAATAAATGATTTATTTATTAGGTTTCTTAGTAAATGGTATATTTAAACTTTCCAACACATTGAAGAAGAAACCACCATTAACATCTCAGCAAACTGTTAAACTGGCTAATTATCTTCTGTCACGTCGTTCCGTACAGACACCCAGAGGTGTTACCAATTTACTCTCAGCGTTAACGACTTTAGCAAACAATGATTACGAAAAGCCAATCTGCGTAACACTAGCCAACGAAGGAATTAGCATTTCTACTCAGCAGCCTTCGGTCACTGTGAAAGTTTGCGACCTTCTTGGCAATCCGCTTGTCAGCGCACCGAAAGTGGTCGCGAACTCGGCAACGAGAGTCGGTGACGACGTTGCCATTTTGAGTAAAGAAAATTTCCAGCCCTCACCAAGCGACAAGTAATTATCAACGCTTTCTCTAATCTTCCCCAATACTTTACCGACTTTGTTTCATATTTATTTCAAAGTTGGTTATACCTTGGGGTATAATAATTGTTGATTCTACCCTTTGACCTTTTTTCATTCAAATTGTGGAAAGGTCAAGAAAGTTAACGAACAAGTATAACTTTATCTTATAAACGGAAATCATTTGAAACATCGTTTCATAAATGTATTGAATCTTAGAACGTTGTTTGCGCTGAATTTGATGGAGAAAAAACCGGAACGTGGATTTTATAAAATATCCGTCGCGGCAGGATCTGTGACGAATACTGTCACGGTAAAAGTTCTTTGCGAAGTGGTAGTTGATTACTTGGAAATCGGTACTGCCGACGCCGATCAAACTACTCAGCCAAAGCTTACACGGTAATTTATATTCATCGAATAATCAGCTTACTATCGTTGCTTTCTTAAAAATTCAAAGCACATTGTACATTTTATGCTTAATTAATTTCAGAGCGACATATCCAAAGAAATTGTCTGAAAAAATAGAGGCCGATTCTCAACAGAAGTTGGTAATGCGATTTTTGTTCAAAGATGGTACTACTAAGAAACCTATGCGCACCCATCAGACCTTTGTGCGACTTTCTTCGGTGCCTGATCCGAACAACGATAAGAAGGAACGTGAAATTCTGTTAGTTGCCGAACCAGATGCATCGCATCTTTATAAATTCGATATGGTAATTGCGCACTTGTTTCTTTTATCGTTATATTTGATTTCTACCGAAATTCATGAAGAAATACTATTTCCCTATCCGAAACGTTTCAGCCAGTAGGAAGTATGGCAGCAAATTTTGATTATCAAAGCGGGGATTACAATGTGGAGTTGATCGTTGGCGATGCAGTATTAAGTAATCCTTTCCAGTGGAAAATTGCAACGGTCAGTTTAAAATTCCCTGAACCGACTTCGATCGAACGAGCAGACAAGAGTGTCTCTAAATACAAGTCCAATATTTACGAGACTAAACCGGAGATAAAGGTACGAAACGTACTTTTATTATTTCACTGAAGATAAAAACAAAGGTAGAAACCAATGCTCGTTAGTGACAGCATTTCGTCTGCGATTCTGTCACCTCCTTATCATTGGGATAGAAAACGTTATCGTCAGATACGTATTACATTTAACGTTCAGTACTTTGAACGTTAATCGTTGGTCTGTTCTGACGAACATTTTTTAAGAGGATCAATATTAAATTAGCAATAAGTTAGCAGTACATAGAGAAGCGTCAGATTAATTTTCATTTTTGTATGTTGTTTCAGCACATGTTCCGCGAGCGCGAAAAGAGACCTCCTGCATTTGTGTCCAATTTATTCAGCGGTTTGTGCTTAGCTCCGGTTCTTTTGTTACTGATTTTGTGGGCCAAACTTGGAGTGAACATATCAAATTTCCCAATTTCGGTTAGCGCGCTTACATTCCACCTTGGACTGGGAAGTGAGTATTATCAGACACACATCATCGCGAAGCGATTTTTGCCTAGGATATAAGCAAATTAACGCTTATTAATTAATTTGTTTTCTACTAGGCATAAAGTAAAAGATGAATTTTTCGCAAATGTAACTATGTTTTAGGTTGCATTTGTAGCCCAATATTCACGACATTGTTATCTTTTTAAGTGGGCTTAAATCGTCGAGCGATTGCAAGTTGTCGTTGAGCAGTCTATCAATAACTTTGATCTGTTACAGGTATTTTCGTGCTTTTCGGAATATTTTGGTTGAAGCTGAACATGTTCGTAACTCTTCGATATCTTCTTGGCCTTGGTGTCGTTACCTTCCTCGCAGGCAACAAAATGTTATCGCGTATAGCACATAGACACAAGTTACGTTAAAATGTGTTACAGGGCGCAATAAAATGTTTGCCTATTTTAATGAAATCATTCATCGAACGGAGAGAAGAAATCGGGGGAATAACGTAATCGGATCGATTACGATGCAACATTAATTTTATAACACAAGATCATCGACTGTGCGATAGAGCGATGATATTTTCTATCGCAGTTAGGCGTAAGCAAGATAGTTTTTAAAATAATTTCTGTAGCGATTCTCGGTGTTATCGAGCAAGATTAAACATATTCAGTGCGCACCTACCATTCCATTGCTCTTGTTATCCGTTAACCGTTGATGTATGTGTGGTCTTCAAGAGTATGTGTAAAAAACAACTTGAACAAAATATACAAATTCTTTACATTTCGTCGTACGATTCCTTATTTATAAAACCATCATCCACGAAGGTGTTGCATTCTTGATATAAAAACAGTCACATAGCTGTTGGTTTTAGCAAGTAGAGATAGTGCTTAATCGATTTCCGTAGATCCCTCGCTTCCGTCAATAATTGATCTCTTTCGACGTGTAATTGTGTGGCGATTAATTGCGCGAGACCTAGACGATGCCAAAACTTGATCGTATTTTCATAGTCTTCCAAAGCCTAGAAATGTTACTATTTACTTTAGTACGTGTACGGATCATAGATATGTAATAAAATGAATCGGTTTCTAACCATTTGAAGCGAAAAACCTTTGATTTGCGGCAAAGGGGTTTGTTGAATTTCATCGATAACATAATTACTCATGGTTTGAATGATTTTTTCGTCTTGAGTTTCGTATCTCCGACATATCTGTAAGTACGTGAGCATACGTTCGGCCTTGTTTATCAATTTATTAAATCGTTCTAAAGTTGCATCGTATTCCCTGGACATCACCGTTGCTTTACGTTTATCTTCCTCCCTTCCTGTTAAATTATTCAGGGAGCATGTTAATAACGTTTTTCTTTATTTAGATTTTAAAGATAAAATTATTCGCATACCGAGGACAAAGTGCTTATTTTTCTTTCGATAGGTAGCGTGAAAGAAATCCGACTGCTGGATGACTTCTTGTAGTTCCGTTGTAGCGTCGACCTTGTAAGAATGGATATTATCTCGAAATTTTGCAATCTCATCGAGAAGAAATGCGGTACGCTGCCACTGCCGAATTATTTCCTGTCGATCGGACTCGTCCTTCCTTCGAATCGCTTCGTAAGCTTTCCGTCGATCCACGGTACCTATACCCGGGGGGGTGGGCGAGACGCGTACGATCAATCGAAAGGGGTTCGTTTAATAAAAGTCTCCTTAACAATCACGTACTTTTGCGATAGTCGGTGAAAATGTTTCGTAAATCATTCCAATGATCTTCGAGCTGTTTTTGAAGCAGACCGCTGATTATTCTTCTTTCGTTTTGTCCATCCTCCGTAAAGGTATCGATCTTACCTTAGCAGCCATTTCAAGGTCATTCGAAATGTGTAATAAGAGAGGGGAACAGTCGTGTATCACAAGTAGATAGATAATTAATAAATCTCACCTACCGATCGCAACACTTTTAGCAATATTTGCCGCATTTTCGTCTCGACGATTTACACGCCAAACGGTTTTATGTAAACCATTTTCATATGCGTTCCGAGAGTGATCGATTCTTTCGAATTCACGGTTTTTTGTTGCCAACGCTTCCTCGATATTTCGATGAAATATGTCATCGATGCCTTTCAACCGGGCCTCGTGTATCTCGAGAGATCGATCGAACGTTTCCACGCGTGCACCGTTCGCACGACGACGCTGGTCCTCGAGTTCTTGTAAACTGTCCAGCAGTAAACTAATACTATAAAAAAGCATAAGGAATTTCCGTGATTAATTAATTTTTTTCCCCGCTTTTTTGCGTTCCCGCAGTCTCTGAGATTGGAAATGTACCTGTAGTCCTTGAGATCGAACGTACGCTCCACCGTTTGCCAAGCTATTTCCACGTTCCTTCCGATGTCTGGCAGCTTAATCTGCGTAAGCGTCTCTCGCCAAAGGCGGCGGTAACGTTCCGTATTCAAAATTCCAAGCTTCATCTCGTGCAGAAGCATTTCTTGTTTGGGATCCCGCACGATTTCCTCATCTTTCTTTCCTTTCTTTTTCTTCTGTGCCTTTCGCTTCCGTTTTACAGGCATTTTGATTCGCCTGTCTCATAAACTGTTCTTCCCTCGTTTTCACAAGTGTATTATACAGAAGAATAATGTAAGGAACACGGTCGAACAGATGATGGACAAGTTTTGCAATGCTGCAGCATTCGCGAAAGAATCATTGGTCCAAAGAAGGCATGCTAATTGACACTTGCCCACCGAAGTTTGCTTCAACTTAAAGCCTGAACGTTAGTGAATCGAGCTGGGGAGGGATAGAGAGACTCGTGGCATGTTCAAGGTCGTCAAAAGCAAAGAGAATCGATCAACACAGCATCGACCAGTGAAAGCTGATGGTCAGTAACGCATCCGTCTCTCTTTTCTCCAGTTTTCAACGGATAAATCACATCGTTCTTTACGCGATTCAAGAATGAACGGATCCTGATTTACGAATCGAACCACGCCACCGGCCGGCCGTTAATTAACCACGGCGTCGTAATAAATAAACAAGCGATTTAACGAGAGGTTAATGATCCCGTTCATCCACGATCATCCTCGTTTTTTCTTCAAAGGTTTCAACCGGTTGGGAGGCGAGTTCAACTACGAAGGATCAAAAGTAGGGGGAAATGGTTAAGCAAAGATGATGCTTGATAAGTCCGAAGAGGAGGAGATCCGCGAAATCCGGTTTTAAAATTAGAATGATCCTAGTAGAAGGGATAAAATCTGGACTTCCCGCGTATAAAAGTCTTCCGCTTTAAAGCCCGCGAACATTTTCCTCGTAAAATCAATTCCGACGAAGTTAGTGTTTCTTCTTCCATTCTTTCGCAAATACATTCTATGTAAAACATTAATTTCACTTGTAACTTTCTCAGATGAATCCGCGTTACGTTCTCGTGCTGGTGGTGATGTTGCTGATCGAGTGTTTCCATGCTCGATCATTGATCGCGCCGGAAGAGGATCCGTCGATCAGGCGAGAGGATCAAGCAGAGGAGACGGCGGTTTATCGAGTGAAAAGAGCTCCAATCGGTAAACTTGCTTTGCTAGGAGGAGCAGCCCTCCTTGGAAAGAAGGCTCTTTTACTCGGCGGTGCTGCGGTAGGAGCTAAAGCCGTGGTTGGCGCAGGACTTCTCGGAGCAGGCTTGTACAAAGCTAAACAGTGAGTAGAATCATTGTTCCCAATGCTTTTCAAATTACACGCATTGCTTTCGTTGTTTCTTGTAGCTTCGCGGGTGGTTACTCTGGCGGGTACAGCGGTGGTTATTCTGGCGGCTACGGCGGTGGTTATGAAACCGTCTATACGAGCGGATACGGGCATTACAACCATGGGCCTTCTGTTTACGTAGAAGAATCAGCTTGGTATTAATAATGACCGATAGTGTTCATGGATGTTTGTTTCGGTTTATACAGAGAAGAAATTCTATGCAATAGTCAGACGCAACCACCTGAAAAGGGAAACGCAAAGTTTCTTTTTGCAATCTGAAATAGAATTGAACATTAACATTCAAATTTTATTGTTATTATTATCATTTCCGAGTTTGCCTAAATAAAAGTAACAGTCTACGAATATACCCACGCATAGTTCTTGATCTCTTCATTTCAAATGTTCAAAGTGTATGTAACCAACCGCTAACGTTTACGTTCAAAGAATACCACTGTACGTGGCGAATTTCACCCGTGACGTGTTGTAACACGGTAGTCAATTTCGACGAGCGACGATTCGGTAAAAACCGTCGGCGTGAGTTTGAAAACTCGAGTATGGTGAGAATTGGGTAACCCGTTCGTTGGGAGGTAAGACACGCGGTCAAAAATATTGCGTGATGGATTTCCATTGACGAATACGCAATGACTCGAAACGATGCAAGAGTACGAAATCGAAATCGAAATTGAAATTGAAATGGAAATCCGAATGGCAATCGGAACGTAACTACTTCAAAGTATTAGGGAATCTATCCGTAGCTATCGACATTATCCATTCATGGTCGCACTCTTTGCTATTTGTCCTGCGATTCGATAAGTTTCTATGATTTTTTTTTTAACGAAAGAAGCGGGGTGGGAGACCCGAATTAGATTGGTCAACGGGATACGATAGGATAAAAGACGATTCATTATTATTCAATGATCGTTTGTCGAGTTCGTGGTACGAGTGAACACATAGCCGCAACCAGCAGTCACGTACGTACGTACATACTTTAATTTACTTACGTCGAATGTAATGGGTTTGGAACGCGGATCATCGATCTCATTTCCCCGGCTCTCATAAATGGTCACGTACTGGATTACGTTTTACTATTGTTACGTATCGATTCATTGTCATTGTTCTAATCCATCCTTTTCCTCTATGCAGCAGGCTAATGAAACGTTTAGAGCTGTTTGAAAAAAAAAAAATGAAAACGATAAAACAGGGTAGAATAGTACCATTATCGTGATAATAATTTAAAATAGAAAATTGAAAGATTATATTAAAAAAATAATTATCAATATCTCTACCAGGGTACCATGTTAAATACCACTATTTTTATTGTGCCAGTCTATTACAGGACAGCATAAAACAAAATGAACCTGATTTCTCTGTAAATTTTCCAATTTGATATCAGGATAAGAAAGTTATCGGCAAATTTTCATTGTTGCCGCAAAGGAATGTTAATCTTCAAATTGGCAATATCTATACCCGAATCGTATAACGAACTTGTTGCAATTGGTTCACCTCCAATATCGAACATCGGAGGAACGCGGATAGAATCGTGTTGATAGGTGGGAGAATTGGGTGGTCGAAGGTAGGCGCGTCTCTATAAAATCAAAGGGGGCTATCGAAATGGTATCACACGAGACAACGCTCTCTTTACGTTCCTGATCATCGCTAACCCGTTCGATAAACCCAGAAGACACGATGGTAAGACAAACCAACGAACATTACATTGGACGTAAGTAAAAAATTGTAAGTGCGTATGCAATTAAATTGTTCCACTCGACAGGTGCATCTATCCAGCGTTGCAATTCTTGCAATTACGTGCTGTTGTTTGGTGATGTTCACCAAAGCCGAAGACGACAGCTCGTTGTCGGAACAGAGTCAATCAACGCTGTTAAATTACGATGCTGGTGAAATAAGGGGAAGCGATGAAGGGGATGCAACAGCCCCTTTAAACAGGCAAAAAAGAACGCTTTTCTTGAAAAAGAAATTGATCGGTGCTGGTCTCCTAGGATTCGGTTTGGGCATCGCGAAAGGGTAAGCAATTTTTCTCTACATACATACCACCAGTAATTCCTGTTGGAATTGTTTTAAACGTCTTCTCATTTGTACATCTGATTTCAGGTACAAAGCAGGATATTATTCGGCACCGGAAGTACGCCACGTGTATCTATCGCCACCCCCGGCGTCCACGAAATACGTTGAATACGTTGAGAAGCCTGTTTACATTGAAAGAATAATCGAAAGGCCTGCTCCAGTTTATAAACCTGTACACGTTGAATACAGAGAGTCTTCTCCTTACGGGTGAGCATCGTTTATCATGGACTGTCTCTTCTATTAGAGGAGTATGAACAAAATTGTAATTTTAATTTTCTCACCTCTGTTTCAAGGAGCTGGTAACATGAAAAGCGCATGTTGATTATGATGGATATTTGGGACGATTGCTGTGGAATTAAAGATAAGAGAGCGTATAATATATTGTAAATACAAAGAGCGAATAATATACGTATGTTTGTATTTCTGTTGAAATTTTGTCTTTTCTCTTTTTTTTTTCCCTCTTTCTAACATATATCTCTATAATTTAAATTGATACAATCCGAGCAAAATGTTGCTCAAACTCGTTGTTGAAAAACAACGTTACTTTAGAAAGATAAAAAGTTCTCTAAACATTCATTTTATATTTCATCCTCGGTAGTATCATCGTAGAAGATAAAGAACACGGACATATATAGCACATTAATTTCCCTAAAGGCATTCAAAAAAACATACTTGCATTTACTTGCATTTTACACCTTATACCGATCAAGTATTCTTCTCTTTCTTTTTTTCTTTTTCTCATTTATTTTCACGGTAAGAAGCTTTGTCAATGTCGGTATAATTTATTAACAGGACGTTCAATTTAATACCATGATCTCGTCAGAAACAAACGAACTTATTGAAAATTTTCCCACACAAATTTGTCCATTCGTGTACATATTCCGTGATTATATACACTTATTCATATATAATTAACATAAATTATTGCATGATCACACGAGACACGTTCGCGTGTGCCCTGTTGGAATTCATTTGCCATATATTTTATGCATGGTATGCGATATCAACTAATATTCTTATCATTAATTTCGATATATTCATAGAATTCGCGTAATTGTAGGACGAGGGGAAACGCGGAAAAAACCAAGAAAATCGTGTTCCCCTTCATGATGAGATATCGAATTATTGTCTACGATTCGAACGTGATGGTATGGTTGTACTTACCAATAAGAAAAACTAAGTAAAAGAAACAAGAAAAAAAAGAGAGAAAGACATAACTTAAAATCATAGATGTATCAAAAATTCCTTTCACAGCAGATTTGTATAGAAATAAACATAAGAGTAATTATTCGAGTCGTTTGAATAATAAGAAATAAAGAATTGAAATAATAAAAAAAATTGATATACCCACAAACGTTTGTACGTAATAGAGATTGTCATCCGCGATAACGAGTGTAAACTTTTTCCCTCTGAATTTTCATTTTGTCCAATTGTCGATCCACGACTGAAAAATTGTAGAGAAACGGTGATGGACAGACGAAAAATAAACATACATATCGTTTTCGCATCGATGGATTTTTGCAACGAGTTCCTGCTCGTCTTGCAAAACAGAGCGATTCGATGCTTGTCACGAAATGTTCACGATTTTTCGATACATGACGATTGTCTTGTTTCAGCGACATTGAATCTTAATGGTGATCGATCTGAATGCTCTTAACGTAACGTCAAAGATTCTACAGAGAGGGATACCGAAGCTGCCTGTCTATAATGTTGCAAGAGAGGAGCCGGGGTTGAAGGAACTTCTTCGATGCGTTCCAAATCGTTTGCCGCGCCAGCGCTGTTTTGTTTATACAGTCTAGGTGTGTTCAGATTTTGTTGCTGCTGTTGTCGTTGTTGCTGATGGTAACTGGTTTGCTCGATGAAGCTAGCGCAAACAGCATCATCAGGCCGATCCAAACTGAACTGTCTTTTCAAGAAACGACACCCTGTACTTCTCCCTAGGGTAGACAAGAAACGGGGGAAGACAAAGAAAAGTTACACCACCTGGTAGAGTATGAAGGAAAGAAAAATAAAGAAAAATAAAAACGATGAGATTTACCATACTGTTCGTTGGGAGAAAGGCATCTGTAATGATTATACGGGGTGCTTAAGTCATTCTCGTCGATGTAGCCAGTTATTCTTCGATGTCTCGGAGGTGCTGGCCTGTAGGGGTTCGTGGCTGAGCTTGAAATCGATGCGAGGGAAGTGGTAGACGCGCCAAGAACCGTCGTGTCCGTATAAAATATGCTGGATGCTCCAAGAGACGCTTGATTATCGCCGGAGGTGTTTTTCGTTACGTTACTCGAATCCACGTTACCGGTTCCTCTTTCGTTCGACTTATCTTTCAACGAAACGGTGGAGATATTTGTCGGTGATTTTCCAGAAGAATTTGGACCGCTAGCTTTATCATCCTCGATGGATACTGCAACGTTACGCGTTCTCGTGTCATCCTCGTTATTCTTGTTCGCGTTAGCACCTATCTCACCACTGTCCGATTTCCCGTCGATTCTTTCCTTCGCCTCTGCCTGTGGCGCGCTCGTTTCATCATTAGTCGTCAGATCCTCCAATATCAGACTCTCGTTTAGCCTTTCGTTGAAACAGATCGAAACTAGTTAAGCAGTGGGTTTTGATGAAAGAATACATTTGGACATTATACATGTGTCAGGCTATCATGCACACATATATGTATTTCTATCATTCACCCTGCTGTTCGTTAACGTTCACTTACCTATTGTTTTCCCTGAAGATGGCGGCAGTATGGCAACAGATAAAAGCATTAAAAATCTGAAAAGCAAACATCTCGAATAAAGATCTACCAAAACATCTATATGCAAATGCAATGAACGTTACCGGGGTTGTTAATGTTGAAGAATGTTCGAATCTACTTTTGTTTACTCACTCACCTCATAGTCGTAGGGTTTTACAAAATATTCAGGAGGATTGAAAAAAAATTGAACGAAATTGAACCGACCCGAACTGAACTGAATGAAGTGAATGAAGTGAACCGAACACACACAAACGTGCATCAGCGAAAAGACTTACCCGAAAATTGGCGGCGTTGGAAGTTCCTTATCGAAACCTTGCTTTCCTAGCAACCAATAAGTAGGCATCCTTCCTTTGCCTTTCACTTCCGTTGAGCCACGATATTCAATGTGATATCCGCCCACCTGGGTGAGTCGATCTCTGGTCGCTTGACTCAAGTGTATACGCCAGGGTGCACCGGTTGATTCCATTCTGGACGCGGTGTTCACGGTATCACCGAACAAGCAATATCTTGGCATCGTTAAGCCAACCACACCGGCACAACACGGACCTACACGTTTAGGAAAGGATTAATTAGGACTAAATTGATTAGTTTATAATCAGTTTCCAACCGTAACGACACTTAACCGGTGTGAAGGCCAATTCGGAGTCTCAGTTGAGTATTTGGCAGGTGTTTCACTTTGAACTTTCCACTCTGATGAAGTAAATCGAGCGCCATCGTAGCTATCTGTGCAGCATGATCAGGTATTCTTACCGGACAGCCACCTACGACCATGTAAGCGTCTCCAATAGTTTCGACCTGTAACGTTAGAAAAAGTTGTTAAAGTACTTAATATTTAAGTATATTATTTTCAATCACCTTGTACACAGTGTACGCGTTAATGGTTGCATCGAAACAGGTATAAAGATCGTTTAGAAGATCGACCACTTGAAACGGGGTGGAATGCGCGGAAATGGTGGTGAAACCAACAATGTCCGAAAAATAAATCGTCACTTCTCGAAATTCCTCAGGATCGACAGGCATGCCCAGTTTCAATTTTTCAGCAACGGAACTGTAATAAAATTCCAGGAATCTTAGCAAACAAATCATCGGCATTCGAACCGATACGAGTGTAGAATAGCGCACCTCGGTAACATTCGATTCAATAACTGTTCCGTTTTCTTCTTTTCCATGTCCAACTGTTCCGTACGTTCGCGTATAAGTTCCTCCAGATTGTTCGAGTACTTCTCCAACATTTGAAACATCGTATCGACAAAATTGACTTTTCTGAAAATGATAATTATAATAGGGACAATTGTCTTTGGGAAAACGAGGAAAAATTTTACCTTCCATGGTTGAGTTTCTTGAAAAGATCGTGAACGTCGTCGAAATCGGGTCTCATATCGGCCGCTTCTGCCCAACATTGACGCATAATGTGTATCGCTTCGGGAGGCGCGGCGCCTTTGCTTACCGAAGGTCTGATCAACGGTGGTGGTTTCATTACTTTTTCGATTATCTCTGTGGCAACGCATAAAAACACTACGCGTTAAAAAACCTCCTTTGAACTACCTTTCCCTTTTGTTATTATCATAAACTTTAAGTATTCATTTCTTATCAGTTACCTTCCGGGGAGAGAGAAAGCATGCAGAACGGTTCTCCACGAACTACCACTTCCTGCATGATAATGCCAAAACTGTAAACATCTCCAGGTTGAGTTCCCCTTTTTCGTACATTCGGTTGCCTTAACAACTCGGGTGCCGTCCATAACAGATCTGCCAGCAAAGATATAAAATCATCGATTCATAAAGGACAAAATGGTACAACAAATATCGTACCTCGAGCGGTTTTTGCCGGAGGAACAATGTTCTGCGCTTCGTAGAAAGCGGGTAATCCGTAATCGGTCACTTTGAGAACCCAACGAGCGTCGATCACACAGTTTCGCGAAGTTAAATAACCGTGTACTCGCACTGGCGTTCCATGAAGATATCTCATACCCTTTTGAACAGAAATCGTCAATTAAGAAAATGAGCGAGATGGTAGCTGCCTCTGTGTTGATTAAATATTTCGAAACGATTATTTACTCGCACAAGATCGGTGAGTAAGGACAATCTGAAAGACCAATCGAGCTTGATCTCATCCTGCACCAACACATCTTCCAACGATCCCCTCGAACAGTACTCGTAGACGAGACAAGGCCTCGTCGGCTCGTTCAAACATCCTATCAGGGGATTCAGATTTTCGTGACGCAATCCGTGGATCTAAGAAACACGATGTGTCGTAAAACGTGGAATGTTGTAATCTTTAACTTGACTCGAAAGATATCCTTACCATCACCAGCACGTCCATAGCCTTGCTCTTTAATTCAAACGTTCCCTGACCTGGCAGTTCTTTTAGTTGTACCAAATCACCCTGACGAATCGTAAGACATATTATAAGTATTAATCGTAAACGTATAAACACTGGAATCGGTTCAGCGTATGCTCACGTTGTATCTGGCACGCGGGTCTTTGAAGAAACCGTGACGACTGAGGTTCCCGGTGCTTGTCTTCAAGCATGGTTTCAACGAGGACACGCTTCCCAATTGGAGGAGATCCGGCTTCTCCACGTCGGGACCACCGAATTCTTGAAGTTGTTGCAACCAACAGCACAGCATCGTTTCGATGCTCTCGTCCACCTGTAATATTGTTTTATCGGACGGTATCGTCGACAACGTCTTCGTGTACATACATACAACCAGTCGAGCATTCTTTGTCCTCTTATGCCGTAAACGGTCCTCCGCGACTCACCCTTCTAGCATCCAGCTGAGGAGCCACTTGAGGAAATACGAAATCCGACGTGGTTAATATGATCTTGTACGGCCCTTTCGACATCCGTCTCGTAACCAGCCTTTTCCTACAATTTAAACGTTTCAACTGCAATTACCATACGATATATGATAAAATTTAGTAAAATGTCTCGTACCTAATTAGAAGAGCTGCCAATATCGCGACCACGGTAAGCAACATCGATCCCAAAACGATGCTCACGATGTGCGCGATACGAAAGGCTGATTCGTCCGAAGTATCCTCTGAAAGAGAATATCTTGATGTATCAATAAAACTCAAAACGACGATATTTCATTTATTTCCTGAATCCTTTACCCGTGCAATCGAAAATGGCGTACACATTGCCGTCTACGTTACACTTGAAAAGATCGGTATCCGTCGTATCGCGAAACGCTACGGCGTTAGTAGATAATCTCCTGACGGATAACTTTTCTCGTCTCTCGATAGTGATCATGATGGGCTTCCAAACATCGTTGCGCCAATCCAGCAAAACATACGTATAAATTTTGTTATTGAAGGCATTTATACTGGAATTGTCGTCGTATAGTAAGATGTTGAGAGTTTCGTTCAGACGATCCATCAGCGTCGGTACCATGTACTCTTGTACGCCCTCGTACAATTTCTCTACATCGTATCTGTGGACAAACGCGTCTTTTCAATTTTCACCTTGTTTCAACTACCCCTGACAAATTGGACAACGCATAATATATACCTATAATCGAGTGGCGTGATTGTCAGTAATCTTTCTAGGAAAGCAGAGCTTAAATTCTTTGGCGGAAAGAATCGACGTTCATCGTTTTGTTCGTTCTCCGAAGTTTGTAATTTCTGCTGTAACAGTCGTCGTCGCCTCCTTCGACGTCGTCGTCTTCGTCGTTGCGGTTGTTGTTGATGTTCCTGTTCCTCTTCCTCTTCTTCCTCTTCTTCCTCCTCTCCTCTTTCTTCTTTATATTCTTCTTCCTCGTCATGTTGTTGATTCTCTTGTTCACCCACTTGCTCGCGACTATCAACGCTCAATTGTTCGTGCGACGCGTTCAATGTTGAAAAATTCCAGGATAATAAGTCGGAAAACGTAACGGACGTGGTGGAATCGAGGCTGTAAGCCGACGAATTAGTGTTCGGTAGAAAGAGATCATCGTCGACGGTGTGTACGATCATGATCATGGAGTTCCATACGGAATTGGAAGACTGCTGCGCGATGTCCAGCTCGATGAGAACACGAGACGTCAGATCGTTCTCCTCAGACGTGGGAAGGCATAATATGGTAACTGTGGAGAATCGGATACGAAGAGAAGTTTGAAGAACTTCAAAGTGGAGCTTGTAGGAAGAAACGAACTCACCTCTACGAGAGATGTTGTAAGCAGGACGAAGAATTTGCCGAATCTCTTGAAACGATGCTCTGTACGGTATTATTGCGCGATACCGCAATACACTTCCTATGCTTCGAAGAGAATTCAAGAGAACTCTCTCTAGACTTAACCATGGTTCTCGATCTGTAATTGGAATTTGCAAACGATCCATCCAAATTCAAACAATTTTTCTAATTGGAAGCAGCAAATTTACCTGTTCCTATTACCATTACACTCTTCCATTGTAAATGAATCAGCATCTCTGCTAAGGCTTTCGCTATCATTGGTAAGGAGGGAGATAATCTGACGACGGACGAGAATTCTCTTTCTTCCAAATCTGTCTGAAACAAACATTGACCAAATCATTGTGGGTACATGTGATGTAAGCTCCGGGTATTCCCTCAATCGAGGGATGTCTAGGACTTCAACATTTATTCATCCACTCGCAGAGTTATTGTTTAATTGCTTACTAAGGGACAGGTCCATGTGAAAAGTGGTATGTTCCAGAGGCGTGCAAGTTTAACAGTAACTTCGCACATTGGCGAATCAAGCGCGGCTACCAAAGCTTTCACCCTTCTTTGTCCAAGTACTCGTAACAAGGCATCGAGACCCCAGGTTCTTGTTTCGCAGGATTCTACAATTTTGGAAACTCAATTACGCCGTTTAGTTACCAGGACAGGAAAGTATAATAGAAAAATAAAAAAACATACGAGAGGAGGGTATAATGGTAATTTGTACGTCGAAGTTAGATCGATCCAAGTAATCTTGGATATCCGTCGAATTCGTCTCAATGTCGTCGCAGTATTCTCTCAAAAACACCATTATTTCCGTTTGAAATTGATCATCGTTGGCTTCGGTTGTAGTCGGTACGTAAGAAACGCATGGAATTTGTTCGCTATTCAAAGGAAGCAAATAGCCGGGCAGGATCACCATTGAGATCCACGACCAGAGCCAGCGGAAAGAGTTTCCGGCCATGTGCCTGCAACCCTATTTACCGCTCGCCCACGCTTATCCTCCTTTGATAGTCTATTGACCCGTATCTATTTGTCTCCGTATTCGTCTTCTGCTACTATCCTTGCTGCGTACGAAAAGAAAAAAATATCCGGTCATTTTTTATTATTCGAAAGAAAAACTTTTCAATATTCGCTACGTTATTGATCGTAGAACGATCATTGATTCCTTCAAATATACATACATATATATATGTACATTCTACCGCAGTCAAATAATTTTTCCGCGCTGTACAGATTTTATTTATGGCGAGATCGATTTAACAAGCGCGGAAGTCCGGAACGACGCAGGATAAACCGAGTTACTAGAGCATGCACGATCTTTTCGTACAAAAAGGTCTACATAATCTCATTACGGTAAATTAATTCGCTGTAAACATTTTCCACCGCATTTAATATTCACCGTTACTAAAAATATTTTTCAACGATCTTTCGCAGCTGCTGTTGCCCTGGCTGTTCATAATAAAAACACTTTGCCGTTATAACTTAATGGATCTAAATAATTAAAAATGCTTGAAATTTTTATCGGACAGACATAGATAGATAACGAATGGATGAATGATGTACGAAAACGAAGAGGAAAGAATTCTCTGTTCGATTGATAAATTGCATCGGTACCGATCGCGATCAATATGTAGCTCAATAGCTAGCAGTGATAAAGAATCTACGAATAGACTCTTCGGATAACGTTGAATACTGGGCGAAGTTAATAAACTGGAATAAAGGAATGCAAAAGTTGTACATCTTTTACAAGTATCATTTGATATGTAGCATTGTCGATTGTCGCTTTTTGATTATTTCTATTAAAATAATGAAAGAATTATCAAGGAAGTATTGGTCACGCAGGTATATGCAAATCGGTCAGTCCAATGTTACTTCGATGCCTGATTAAAAAACACGACGGTAGAAAAATATTGTTTAAGTAATTTTGATTGAAAACGTTGGAAATATGTACTAGCATTTAGACGAAAAGAATTAATCGGTTCGTTATAAGATTCGAATCACTCAGGTTTCAGTTAAGGCTGATGTACCGTGAAAAGTTTACGGCGGGACAAAGCAAGTACAAGTAGGTAATTAAAAGTTTACGCTCATTGTCAGCTCGACGATTCGTCTTACCGTTTGTCTGTTCGCGAGAAAGAACAACGATGAAATAGTTCCCTCTTCTTTTGCTTGCGTATGTACCAGAAGGGGATGCGTGATGTCAAAGACGTTTTGAAAATACGCATATCGTGACTAACCGACAACAAAGTTACGTTTTCGTATTTCGAACGTCCTCGATTTCTAATGTAAAACGAATAAAATACGCGTGTCAAAGCGGAAAAGATCGAAATGAAAAGAACACAAACGTTTTGGACAATCCGAACGCCACGGCGTTCGGTATCGAACTAACGTCGCGAATGCTACCCCTCTACTACACATGCTCCGCGTGACGTTATCACGAGGGAGCAAACGGTTGCTCGCGTCCCGGGGAGCCGAGGACGAACACCATCACGCAGATCCGCCCGCACCCGTTTCGTTTCTCGTTGCTATTACACCCTTCTCCAGCTTCCTATTATTCACCATTCCACCCTCTAAACTATCCTTTACCTCGTCCCTCCTTCTATTCCACTACCATCCTTTTTCCTCTTAATAATCTTATCGAAATGTTACTCTCTATTTGGCCAAATCTGAAATAAGTCTAGCTATATCTAACAGTTTATACATACATATACATAGTAAAGGATATGCTTTGAAAATTACCTAAAATTTACGTTTTGAAACGAAAAATATTGATATAAAATTATGTTAATAGACACTGATTCATCCGGATTATAGAGGTTCGCCCTTCTTCCTCTTAAGGTGTTGATGGCTCCTCCTCTATAGGCCTCACATAAAATATTTATTCATATACTCTTTAACAACAAATGGGAACCTATTATCTGCTGTGTAATGGTAGGAAACCTGTTATCTATCGAGTAATAGGTACCTATCTTTGCATAACGTTAAAATTATGTTATTACTGCACTGTTAATCAAAGGAAGGAAACAATTGAATAATTTGTGTAGTAATAAAATAGATAACATTTAATATGTGTATTTTATATAATTTTACTTGCATGTCAAATAATACATAATTCCCGAAGTGTCTTTTAAATGATATTAATTCAGATTTTCTTTTCAAAGGATGTTTAAAGAACAATGCAAGTATGGGAGTTAGAAACATAATGTATGTAGCTGTATGTATAGCCTGTTATAATTGGAATAACAATCATGCAATGATGTTATATTTGTGTATATACCTATGTGCATTTTATATGTTTACCTTAGATGTAGAAAGCATATATAGCGTACTTTATTTCAAATATGAAAACAATACAATAGGGATATTTTATTGGTCCTGTGCTTGTATATAAAAGTGCAGAGGAGCAATTCTTTATGTTTAAAATGGGCACCCCATCATTTTTTAGTAATTCTAGATATATTACCTTACATGAGAAAGTGTCATATATCAGATACACGTTTTCTTTGTCCATACATGTAAGTATATCTGCATATGCATACGTAAAGAGGGTTTGCTTAATATTAACAATACAAACTTGCATATGCATTCATAAGAATGTATACATCTACCAAGTATTGTCCAAAATGGACTTGTATGTCATATTGTTACTATAAACATTTGATCTAAATATATTATTATACGACATAGATGTTAGAGGAATCGATTTTAAAATATTACCAATTGATTGTCATTCAGGGGACTACATGGGACCTTCTATCATACTAATTTTCATTGTACAATAATAAATGCTGCGTCCCAAGCACAAAAGTGCCAGTAGAAATGCACCTAGAGAAAAGACTAGAATTATAACAATAAAAATTGTGTACTTATTACGATAATTAATGCTTATATCAAGAAAATAGATCAGATAAAGATCATTTCTTATACTTACCAACATAAGCTACATAAATTCCACCGCTAGTTTTCACATATGTATGTGTACCAACCTGTAAACGAACATAATATTAGGATTAACGACCTCTCGTTAGGAAAAGTATGAATGAAAATAATAAAATAAAGTCCATTTCTGACAGTTCCTTATGAGCTATATAAAATATTTATTGAATAATTTTATAAAAATATATTATGATAATACTTACAGTCACAGCTATTGCAATTACTAGGACTATTATTCCAACAATAATGAATGCAATACCTCGACCTCTAGCAAAATCTGGACCAACAGAAGATATTTTTCGACAATGTGGACATCGAGCCAAAGCATTATTCAAAGTATTAAACTAAGGGATATAAAATGGTGCATGTTAATTAAAATGTACTCCTGTATGAAGAATATATTCCCATTTGATTCTTACCAAAAATGTGTCATGACAGTGAGCACAGCATACCCTACACATTCCAGGCATGGAAAGAACAGGTGGTGTAATTGGACTTGGAGCAAGATTAATAATACGTTTACAATTTGGCCTTGGACAAGCGATACGTTGTGAAGAGCTCTTACAAATTAGTAAACAATTACAGGGACAACGAACATACTTCTTTCCTGGTGGTGCATTTCGTATGGGCTAGAAAAATAATAAATACTTTTATTATCAATTCATTGTTGTTCACTACAGTGAATTTGTTTATGGACATACTGTAGCTTCATTGCATTGACCACATTTGACAACATGTTGGTCCTTTTTACCAGATATATCTATCATAGCCTGACAAACTCTACAAGTAACCATAGGCATACCACCTGATTGAGTGCATGATTCATATGGAGGTGGTAACTCATCAGGACCTATTGCAGGTACTACTGCACTGACCGTCAACTGCGTCTCATCTAATGTTAAATATAATGGATAAATCAAGGAACTGGATTAAACAAATTTAATCCTTGCACAACTGAGATCAAATATTATTTACCCAAATCACTCGCTTGTGAATTGTAAATGACATTATCGTTATTTAACAACGGCTGCCGTTCACCATTCCTCCCGTCACCCATGTCGGTCTATTAATTTACCCTTAACGACAACAATTTATTTCGAGTATTGTTTGACAGTACTCCCGGTACTCCGATGACAAGGATGACAAAATACAAATTTTTCTAACACCTTCCGTGGTTCTGCCTGTTTGTAGAACAGAAACCGTTCTCTACAATGGATATGTCCCGTACTAATACATTGTCGATCATTAATAGATTGGTTTAGGAATTCGACGAGCACTTTGACATTTTTCCACGTTGGCTGCCCTGTTACTCAATAAATAGTGATGTTTTCGATGTGGTTAAGGTTATTCCGTTCTGTTTTTTTTAATAATAACAAAGATCACTATTAGTTAAATAACGCTATCATGAGAGTCGAAGATTCTTCCGAGAACTAATGTAATCTGCTTATGAAGCATAATACTACGTTTATCAAACGTTATACTGACACACTTTAACCATATAATACGATCACTTCTTGTCCGCAACTGCATTCCCCAACGTTTACACGGCTTTTCAAAAGTTTGATTGCTATTATATATCGTTAAAGCGGAAGTATTCGATCATTGGAGATGTATTATCTATATATATACGTATTATCTATACATTTATGTAAGCATTCGTGATACACATAAGCAGCATGTGTAACATCATTTAACTTTTTTTGTTTTGTATAAACATAAACAAGTGATATGGAAAAAGTAACTCATTTATGGAACATAAATCAGTTCATAACAAAATTGAATTGTTCGCAAAGTAAAAAGTTGCAAACATTTTACATGTAAGTTATAGATGATTTTTGTAATCTTAGGTTTAATATGTACATGTATTAAACAATTTTATTGTATTTCAGAGAGAAATGTAAAAGAATAAGCAAAGGAATACTATTACCATCTCAAAATTTTAGTCCCTCTGTGATGTGTCCATATTGTGGATCACTTTGGAATACAGTAAAACATAGTATTCGATTACTACAAGGTAAACCACTTTCTAAATCTGTTAAGAAGATTATACATTCTATGAACAATAATGAAAAAAGAATACCTAAAGTTCGAAGAAATCTGGTAGAAAAATGCTTAAAAAATAAAAGAAATAAGTTGCTACTGAAATGTTCAGTTTGCTTAGAAAGTACAAAACTACCTTTTGATAAGCCACAGAGGATAAGAATACAGAAACCTAGTTTAGAAATTGATAAAAGTGTGCAAAAACGAAGAAAGAAAAGAACCAAAGATAAAACTGCTGGTTTAAATATTTCTGGAATTTCGAATTTGAGTACAGACAGAATTGAGGAAGAATTGAAAGAAACAAACACAAGAAAAGTAGGAGGTACTACAAACTTTATTACACCAACTCCAAAGTTAAAGAAACTAAACATAAATAGATTAAAAGATATTGTGAATCAAGGTGCAACACCTCCAAAGAGAAAGAGTCTACATAGTTTCTTAACAGAACTCTGTTAGAAATTAATTTATTATCAAAGTATTTTTATAAAAGTTCTATTACTTATTATATAAGGAATATTTGACACATATTTTTTCATTAAAAAAAAAAAGAAAAGAAAAAATTATCATTCTTGTATTGTAATTCAAAAATTTCTATCCTCAATTGACAAAATCGACTCTTGTACGTGCATGAATCATTAAATAATTGTCAATTTTTATTTCCTGTAATTGTAAACTGTTCTCTACAGCATTATCCATATAATAAAATAAATACACTATACATCATGCATCAAGAGTGAATCATACAAAGTCGCGCGTTAATTGTTCTTCTATTTACTCCAGTGGAATCTCTTTTCGTACAACCTGTAAGATAATCAAACGTTATATATTCTCTTTAATTAACCATAAAAAATTATATCTTATTAACGGTGTAATTCATCCACAGAGCGGTTGTTTGATGTAAGGTAATGAAAACAAAAAGGAATAGGAGGTGAAAACTGAATACTGACTTAACAATTCCCGACCGTTTTCAGCGGTATTACACGTATGCACGTTTTTCGACTGTGAAAGTCATGCGCGAAGGTCTACTTTCATGCATTTCGTGTTAATTCGGTCAGTGTGTCGAGGTAGAAGAAGAGAGGAGAGGAGTTGTTAGTCACCTGAATGCACGCCTCGAGATAATCCCGCTCGGACATTTCCTGGTCCTTCGCAGGGGGAACTTTTCCCCGACGGCGCAGTTCTTGCTTGGCGTCGTTCAAGTCAAAGATCGCCACGGGATCCAGTTTGCCCTTCAGTACCAGGCCCGCCAAGTATTCAATGTAGTGCTGCCTGCGGGGAAAAGTACCCAGAATTTAGTCGTGCCACGCACGATTCTTTTTCGTTTACCTCGATCAAGTCCATCCTGTAATGTTCTGGATCACGACCATACCAGTTTGATGGCAACTTTATCCCTGCGCGTCTGACACAAGTCTCAAGATCGTCTATATTTAGCAACGAAAGTGGTTCCAGTTGGGTTTGCCGGATCAATCGGACTAGATACTCGATATAGTGAATCCTGAATATCGAAGGAGACGTTAAGAGGAGACTATGATAGGAAATCATTTCTTTCTTTCTTTTAACATCTTCAAGTATTCTCTTTGTTGTCATGTGTATTTTGTTTTAATGAGGAAGAAAAGAAAGGTCGCCTTGAAGATGCTAAAAGAATTGTCCCATGCAGTAAGTTCCGGAAACGGAGTTGTTCTTTGATGTTCCTTGTAGCAATCAAATGGCTGTTCAAGGTCATTATAAAGTACACTCGTCTTATTAATTACTGTATCATTAGTTATTCAGCCTTTGTGTTCTCCTTCACAAAGCAGCTGAATCACGCTGCGAGAGTACAAAAGAAATTACGTCATCGTCACAATGGAAAAAGTAATCTTTTAAGTAGCCAATTCATTTTTTGGTACAGCATCAAATTAATACCAGACTTAATGTATATTCATTAATACCTAACGAAGAACGGTGTATAAGATGATCAAAAAGGTGTTGCTAATAACCCATGAAAAAGTTTGACAGAATTACCTGCAGAGACCAGCGTGTCCCTCGACCACGTCCGAGTTGCATATCGCGTCCACGACACCGGTGGGAGTTTCTTTCTGCAACTGCACTTTGCACTTGCGTTCCCCGGCCGGACCGTCTGTATCGTACTCGATTCCATTATCTTTTAACAGCTGTTGCAACTGCGCCGGCTCCTTGTCGCGAAGATAAAAGAGACAGTTTCGCGGATGATGAGCGTGAAGGCCCAGTTTCGCGCAATAAGGACTGACCGAGCATTTCGCTCCCATCATGAATGCCTTGCCACAACCGCAGCAAAACTCGTATTTGCATTGACTGCACGTAAAGTGCATGCAACCTGCAGGGGGAATTTGTGATCCAATAATTATGTTAAACATGGTCCACTTAAAGACACCGACGAAGAAGATCCTATTCAACGTAAGGATAATGGTATTTTGTTTTATATCCACTCACCTCCTCGTGACAAAGAATAACGAAATTTACATTTAGGACAATCTATCCCATTATCAGCCAGGTGTTTGGCTAAGCCTGCGGCTTGATTATCCGGGTCGTTCTGGTCTTTCCAAGCGGCGAATTGCTCGCACGTAATTCCTTGGTGCTGTTTCTCCCACTGAAAGTGAAATTGATCATTCCGGAGGATGTAATTTCCGTTTACCCCTTTCGGTTCGCCGCGTTTACTCTTAAATTTCCTAAGATACGTACCGGTCTTCGACATTGCGCGCAGGTGACCGATCGACAATCGGGACAAATTAATCGTTTCTGATCCGGATCCGCGTAAAATCCGCTCGAGCACTAAAAGCAACATACATCAGATTACTCGAGGTGCTGAAGGATAGAGAGGTTCGAATATCCTGCACAAAGGAAACACCTGAATGCACCACTTGAAATTGGGATCCTGCATCAGCGTTCTATCCCTCAGTTTCCTCTGGAAGAGTTCGTGAATAGGAGGATCTAAAAGTGTCTTCAGCTGTATGTCCAGATTACTGAAGTACTCGAGCACCTCGTCCTCGTTCGCGTCCTTCAGATTAGGTTCCTTGCAGAACGGACAAACCGCGTCGGTGATGTTCCTGTCGCTGATCTGAATGGTGAAGTAATTCTTCGCGCACTCGTTGCAGCATCGATGCACGCACTTCAGCATCGACACCATCTGAAACGATACAAGTTGATTAGAAGCCGCTCTTCAGGGATTAAACTTGATACAATTACCTGACTCATCGCAAAACGACCGGTGCAGAGCTCGCATTCTTGTTGCAAGAAAGCCAACGCCGATTCCACGCTGGAGCATTCTTTGGCCGCTTGAAGAGCCTCGACGTCTCCGAATTTCAGGGCGAGCAAACTGGCGGCCACTTCCGCTTCGTCGTAATTCGACGCTTTTCCTTCGGCCAACAGACGACGCGCTATTCTCTGCAAACGCAAACGGAACCTTTCGAACTTGAACGTAAAAGGGTCGAATAAATGATTCCTAATACACGCGAATAGAGGACATGCAAAACGACGAAGAGACTAACACCAACGTCTAGAAACGAGCTCTCGACGCGTTAACGATGACATCGTGATCGAAATGTTAATATCGTGCTTACTCGTTAACGTGCGAGCCGCAGGAAGTATTAAGGAACGTTAATACGTTAATGGGACGCACAGCGAGGAATGCAAAACGAATTTTCCGTCGAGTCTTCTTCGTTTCGACGGTCAGCTAACTGGATGATGGAAAAATTAAACTCCAGTCGCGGTTTCCTCGTGAACGGTAGAAACCTCGAATTCTAATCTATTCAAGCAATTATTCTTTTTTTTTTTTTTTTTTTTTGCTGAAGCAATAAGCAAATCATTAGTCAAAAGAAAAAAAATCAAAATAGGAGCACTTACCTTACGGACAGTTTCTAGTTAAAAAAAGAAAAAAAAATCAGCTTAAGATTACAGTGAAAACAGGGTTATCAAATTGTAAAGGGTTGCTTTTTGCTCTTCGTTTTTTGTTTTTCGGTCACTTGATACGTTTCGAGCTGTTTGTAGACATTGGCCGACAATTGATTCTGACAACTGACGTCTACTGACCTCCCGTTCCGTTTTGGGAGATACCCCTGTCGTCGAGTTGCCGCTTCTACTTTCCACGTACTCCCTTTCCGATTTCTCTTCGCCCTCGAACCGATGAATACAACTGGCTACCAGGGAGAATCGTTTCTTCGACGTTTCTCCCTGATCCAACCCCCTATCGCAGCCTGTACTCGCTCTACGATTCGCCGCTTTCGTTCGTTTCTCATTCATCCCTTTCGATATTTTCACCTCACCCTTCGAAACAATCTTCTTCCGCACCTCCCCCATACAATTATTACTTCTTTCAAGCTTCTTTTTATTGTTAGTCTTGGCAGATTTCTTTTTAACAGTGTCACTCGAAGAGGTACCATATTTTGGTACCTCAAGGGTGATTTTATCTAATTTGTAAGTCTTCTGTTCGTCGGCTTTCAAAGTTTCATCCTCGGATGTTTCGTCATTAAAACTTCGTTCTTCATCCTCCTCTAATTCCTCTTCTTCGTCGAGCGACCACCAGTCTTTCACGTCCGCGTAAGTTTCGCTGGAATTAGAGGTGTCCCGAGCCTCGATATCGCTGACGGACTCGTTCTCGGATCCCTCGAACTCCGAGTCGGATATCTTAGCCTTGATCGCGTTGATGGTCTCTTGGAGGAGGATCTCGGCGTCGGTTAATTCCTCCATGCTGTCCAAAGCGTTGTCGGAAAATTGTTTTTCCGTGCTGGATATGTCGGATTCAGCGGCGCTTTCGAATTCGGACGTGGCATTGTCCGAGGTCTCGTCCAACGAGTATTCTTCGCTCGATTCGGTGTTACTCGAGTCCAAATCATCGGATAACACCGGATCTTCCTTAGACACGATTACCTCAGCGTTGCTCTTCGAGTCTACCTGGGATTTCTTTTCATTTCCAGGTTCTTTGCCCGCAGGAATCTGGATGGTAGGATTTTTTACAGCTTCCATCTTCTTATTCTTGGAATCATCATTGATTTTCACCGATGCGACTTGTAGTCGAGATCCAATCTTCGAAACGCTCTCCGGAGCAATTTTTCTTCCGGTCTTCTGACTGGACGCCACGGTGTTGTTTAAACTACCGGTACATACTCTATTGGAAATTTGCTGTGGACTCTTGGAAGTCGGTTGCCGAAGATGACGTCTCGCAGTGAACACAGGTATCCTCGAGAGGAAAGATTTTGCTTTCGAATTCTCTTTCACCCTCGGCGGTTCGTTAGATTTCCTGTCGTTGGACTGCATAATTGATTTCTTAATCTGCTCGCAACCCTTCGACAACGTCCTCAGGATCGTCGATCTCTTTTCAGGCGTTTTCAAGGTGGAACTCATTGGAATTTGCTTTTGTTTCGTCGACGAAGCTTTCGCTTTGCTCGCGAGATTTTCGACGAGGACCTTCGAGCTCCCCTTTACCGGGCTCTCCTTTGGGCTCCGCCTGAACAGGGTCGGTCTGCGGGTTACTTCGCTGACCTCTTTCACTTTTGCGGCCGTTCTGCATCGCGGGCTAATTTTTCCGAAATTTCGTCGCGGTATACCGGTCGGTTTTTTCACCACTTTCACGGGAGACCTCCTTCTGGCGACCTTCTTCGCCGGAGATTTGGATCTCTCCTTCGTCGGCACCTTCTTCCCAACTTCGTTCCCATCGACTTCATTATTATTATTACCAACGTTAATTTCGCTTTCTCTTGTAATCGTAACAAATTCCTCGATTACGCTCTCCGTTTGTGACTTCATCGATTCCTCGTCAGCCGAACTGATTTTATTCTCCGGAACGCTGATAGGCGCACAATCGTTCACCGCAATCATCGGGGATTCTGTTATTTTGATCTCTATGATTTCAGCTACTCCGGGGGGCACGTCGTTAACATGGATCTCATCGAGAAGACCGTTCTCTGTTTCATTTTCGTTAGAAAGAGGAAGAGGTAACGATTCGGACGTATTATTATTCGAATCTTTTGCAATACTTTCATCTTCGCAGGAAGGTGGTTTGCCAAGATTTTCACACAGTTTGGGATCTGAACGAAGGGGTTCGATTTTTCTGCTCGAGTTCGATTCGTTAGAGGATGTATCGGTTAGGTTATTAGGAGCAACCGGGCTTGCTGGAATTTTGTTAGTATTCGTAGAATTCGGCTTGTTAACGACCGATTCGGCGGCCGAAGTATGCGAGTTTGACGAGGGACCGGTAATACGAGGGCCACTTGAAATAGTTAAAATTGTCGTTCCGGTATTCGCGAGTGCTTTCCAAGCTTTATTTGCATCGAGGCTGTTTGATATCGAGCAAGGTACCGAGGACAGAACCACCGCCTTTGAATCGTTCGTTTCAATTATTTCCTTCGAATCCTGCTCCGGAATTGTTGAAGCATCGTTATTGGCTTCATTGGAAGATGGGTTTTTTCTTAGTTCATCGATTTTCTCGCTGGACGTTGATGTTGATTGATCATTCCGTTCTGTTTTTGACTGAACATTAATTTGCTGAAGGTTTTCTTCAGAATCGAGGGACTTGATTCCAGAAGTTATTGGACGAGTATCGATTTTATCCTTGGGGATATGACACGCGACAGAGATAGGCTGTTCCACTTTTTCGGATACGTGCAACGGAGTTTTTAATATTTCTTGGATAATTAGTTTAGGTTTGTTGGAAATTTCAAGCTTTTTGGATTCTCTCGAGTGCTCGAGAGTATTTTCATTGGGTTTCGAGGAAATTTCGTGTGGAATACTTTCAGAATCCTTTGAAGTTTCAGAGGCTACTGTTTTCAGATCGGTAGAAACTTCTTCAGTAACGTTTTTCGAATCCTCTGAAATTTCAGGATTTACAGAATCCTTTGAAATTTCTTGCTCGACATTTTTAAAATCCTCTGAAATTTCAAAATCCTGAAGATCCTTTTCGATACCCATTTTCAGATTCTCAGAAAATTCCCGCTCGTCTAATTTCTTTTCAACGTTAGAAGGCTCGATAGTGATAGTTAAACACGTTACAGACAAATTAGTCGTATTACTTTGAAGCAATTTGTGCTCTGAATTAACCAGAGAGCGTTCGTTATCAGCAACCAAACTGGCATCAATTAATTTCATACGCTTATCATCGGCGACCCTAGTTCCTATGTTAGATGATTCACCGACACACGACGATGACGTTTCGCTAGATAATGATTGCGCGCCAATGGTCTCGTTGTGTCTCATTACGTTATCAGTCGTGAATGATTGCTCGTTCAAAGATGCATTGTTAGCTCGAGAATCTTTGATGTCGTTCACGGAAGAGCTGTCTACTTCCTTTGACGATGACGATGGATCATGAATTTCAGAACTTCCGTCGAGACGATCACGACCGGATGAATCGTTCTCTATCAACGATACCATACCTCGTCGAACGTTCGACACCATGTCTTCTTTAACTTCCGGAGAACTTACTTTGTACACCGCGGCTTCCTTTATTTCTTCCCGCGATTGCGTTACTTTCGCGTCGTCATTTCGAATCCGACTATTGTCAAATGTCTCCGCTATCGTTTCTTCTTCTACCCTACTAGAACCGCTATTGTCTTTCTCTTGTCTACCTACCCTTTCAAGATCGCGTAGTCTCTCGATGTCTTCAGCAGTCGTCGCAGCCTCCACCGTGATTTCAGCTCCCCCTTCTTTCGTTAAAATTTCTTTTTCTTCAATTTTATTTTCCACCGTTTCGGTGGAAATTTGAACAGGCTCGATATTCAATCTTTTCGGTGAAAGCATCTGCATTGCTGATATAAATGGACCCAACAGTTGCTCTGGCAATGATTTCACAGCGGATATCAGTGCTTCTACAGTGGCCACTTGTGTTTCGCTGCTCTTCTGCGAACTCTCTTCATTAGCATTATCAATAATTAATTGTTCAGAATTTTGTTGCATCACAGGATCATTTTCTACTTTATTTGATTTATTCGTTGATTCGTCAACATTTGGAGTTTCAGAAGAGGATTTGGGTACATTAATTATGTTCTGCTGGGATTTATCTTGTTGGTTTGTTAAATCAGATTGCTGATTTTCCGACGAATTTTCTGCCACGTTAGATTGCAAGGGAATGCTCGATGAAGAGGAATCTTTATCCGCGTCCAGTGTCCTTTGTTGAGGATCTGAAACCTTTTGGGACGTTTCGTCTTCTTTCGAGCGTGAAGGAGCAGCTTTATCTACTTGCACGCTGCTTTCCAGAGGATCTGAACTCTTTTGGGATATCGTTTCGTTTTCTTTAACGCGCGAATCAAGCGATTCTTTGTCTTTTCTTTCGTCTACTTCTACATCCACACTTTCTACGCTTACTTTCGAAACTACATCGTTTGCTTTCAATTCTACATTTGACTTATCTTTTCTTACACTTGAGCCGGAGACGGGTTTTTCTTCTGAATTTTCCTTCTCCTCAAGATTTTCTGTTTCTTTTCCCTCATTATTTGTGACTGAATTTACCTTCGCTGTTTCATCGTTCGAATTTTCTTCCAGCAAATTTTCTGCAACACTCTTTTGTACATTTATTTCCTCAACTATCGTTTCATTTTCTACTTCTTTCTGTTTGTCAGAAACTAGAATTATATCCACCGTTTCCTTTTCATTTAAATTTCTCAGGGAATCGTCATTTTGAATAATTTGATCAGCTTTTTTAACAACTGAAGTTTCATTTTTTATTAGTGGTTCATTTTTATCCTTATCGGAAATAAAAATTTCTATTTTCTCTTTTCCTTTTAAATGATCATTTTGAATACTGTCTTTGATCTCGATAGGTTCGTTCGCTTTCTCAACTATAACATCATTATTAATCATCGGTGTTTCGATTTCATTTTCGAGGGGTCTCTTCGACTGCTCGTTCTCCAATGTCTGAACGTGAACAGTGTCGTCGGCTAGATCGAGGTGTTGTGCGGCCCTTGGGACCAGATTTGGATTAATTAGAATTCGATGGTCAGCGTTACTTTCATACAGATTATCAGGCTTATTACCGAGCGTGTTCAGGGGGTCTTTGTCAAGTTGCCAGTTATCGGTCAGTTGTCTGAGGGCTGCCAGTTGCTTTTGAAAGTCGGCCTGCAACGCGACGAAATTTTCAACGATTGGTGATATTACCTGCTTCCTGGCTTCCGAGTCCGACACGTTGGAAACCTGTTCGGAAACACCCTCTCCACCACCGACCGCACCTGACGCATCTATAACAATCAACATTTCCTGATTACTTTTCGACAATCGGAGAAAGTAGAACGGCAATGTTCGCCGAACCTTCCCGCGGTGCAGCCTCGTCGTTTTCCACCCCGACCGGAGGACCCCAGATCCTCATCAAGAAAGGCTTCAATTGATTCTTTTGCAGCTCGAACAAAGCCGCGTCCTCGGCACCGGCGTTGTTCTCCAACGCTTTCACCACCTCCGGCATAGCGAAGTTGCCTTTCTTCATGATTTCCTCGCACTGTCAAAAGTAATTTCAATGTCTTGTCAACGTGTCTCTCAGAAACATCCCTTAAATCCTTTACCTTTAACTGTCTACGTTGAATCGCCATCGCGACAGCGTTCCAAACGTCTCCTTTCGTCAGTCTTAAAGCTTCTTTCGCTTCTGCGGTCGAAAGCATCCCTACATTGTTCTCTTTCAGTTCTTTTCCTTGAGTGGTCGCCAGAACCTGCACCGTTTCCACTAGATGAGGCCATTGCGTCTTTAGCCAGTCGATAGGGTTGCTCGAACCCTGCGACAAAGCCACCTGAACGTCATCCGTCGAGTATCCGTGTCTCTCGGCCTCTCGCAGAAGCTCCACGATCTCCAGACCTTGACGGGTTAGCGTTGAAACGGTCTGCGAACTGGGGCCAGCCTCCAGGAATCTCGGCTGACTGGATTCCTGAAACACCAGCGAAATTCGTCTGTCGATAATCGAAACGATTAAACGACGAAGAAGCGCAATGAAAGATACGACGCAGGATCGATGAACAAGAAGGATTCGATCGTCGTAAGATGTACCTTCTATTAGAGGCTTAAGACTATATTAAGACTATTCTATAATAAATCACACATTGTGTATTTCAGGGATGATCGTTGGAAGTACAGGTGAATATCAGTGAATGTATCCTGTCTACGTTCACACCGAGGCTACGGAATTTTTCATTAACGAATAGTGTTAAATCGTGGCGAGGATTAGCTCGGATTGAAAACCAATGATTCTCGAGGGATAGCTGACAAGTTTACCCTGGAACGATAATAAAGGTGGGTCGAGTCGATGGAGTTTCGTCGCGTGCGGTCGCTGCTAGGAGCGGCGATCAGTTGCTGAAGATATTGTTCCTGGATCGTCTGAGGATAGAGCTCTGGACTGTTCGCGAATCTGCTTTGTTCCTGGAACAGACGCTCCGTATCGTTCTTTTTATTAAATCATTGAAATATTAATAAACGACAGTGTCTCTCCCTTTTGTATCATTGAAATTTTTCTTCCAATCTCTAAGCGATCAAAGAAACATTCAAGTTTGAAAACTTTAGCTTTAGATGAAAGGAAGTTCACGAATCTACGTGTATTGATTTTTCGTTTTACCTCTGCGTCGCTGTCCTCATAATACAATAATCCCTTCGAGGCGGATGCAGCTCTTACGAAAGCTGCGCTTCCTCTCACTGGAAGATAGTCGTACGTCTGGAAAAGTATATTCCCAGTCCAATAACATTCAAGTTCCTTCTTTTCTTTACTCGAAACGACAATTTCTATTTTTTTCCTTACGAAATAAAATACACCCGTCTTACTTGAGTGGAGATGCTCTGAGGCGGCGGCGAGGTTCCGGTGGAAACCGAATGGGTTTTGGAAATTTTTTCGAGCATCGGTCGTTTCGTTGCTTCCTGACTTGTTCTTCTATCGTTCGCAATATCAACGTTATCGGTAGACTCTGGTACACTGTTCGTTCCTACTCTGGACTCATTTTTCGTTACCGAAGAGTATTCAACGGGAGGATTTTCTTGCGTATCTGTAAATTTAATCAGATTCATTCTTTTGGAAACATATGTTTTTAACACAGGTACGTTTGGACTAGGCTTAGAAATTTTTCAAGGATACAGCTAATGGTTCATTAAAACAGATTTTCAAAATTACCTTTACGACGAAAGGGTTAAACTTCAATCCAGAGAGGATTAAAAGAAAATTGCACGAGGAACTCGATCAACTGATTTTGGATATGGAAAGAACAGTAGCCAAATGCACGCTCGTGCTTGAAACTAGCTCCTCTTGAATGAATAATAAGTACGTCAGACATGGATCGAACACTGGATGAGAATAAAAAAATGAGAGAGAGTGGCTTCATTTCAAATACGACTATGCATTTGGTTTCCACCGAGCGTGTACGAAACAGTTTGCACGTCTCTTTATTATTCATCCAAGGGTATACATCGACAAAGGACAATCTATTCGTTTTTGACTTTCGTAAAAAAAAAAAAAAAAAAAAAAAAAGAAGAAGGTGGACCAGGAGAAGGAGAAACATTGAAGAGAACAGGTACAAATAATCGTGATCACTTATTCGATTTGGTACCAAAGGAAAAGCTGATTTTGCGTCTTGCTCTACCTTTGTTCTTTGCGGAACCGCTATCTCCACTTTCCTCGCTGTTCGAAATTTTTAGCAAGCTCGTTCGTTTTTCCAAATCGGAACTCGGATTGCTCACGTTGCTCGACGTGGTCGCTGACTCGCTTTTAGAAGGTTCGCTGATTGCGGTTGGGACATCCTCGGAATTTTCAGGGTTACTCGGCGGTAACGCACTGCTCTTGGTTTTGCAACAAACCACGCAAACGCGATCGTTCACGTCGTTTATGAAGGTGCAATGCTCGCAGGCCCATTCCTCTTTCGGTATCTCCATCGCGATCCTCTCGCTGACATTTCTCGGTGACTTCGAACGATCCTCTATCGTTTCGCGTTTCTCTTCTTTTCCCCGAATCTCTTCTTGATTCCTGCTACCGGGTCTCGACGTCTGTTTATCATCGCTCTGAGGAATTCTCCTAGGGACAGACTCGCGAGACGGTGTTTTCCTGCTGCTCTGATTATCAGAAGCTCGTTTGGCGGGAGATTGATCAATTTCATCGACGGAAACTTCTCTTTTCGAAGGTGTCTCCCGATCTCGGGACGGATCGCGGCTTCTTTGATTTCTCGAGGAAGGACGAGGCACGAGCTCGTCATTATTTTCTGCTTCCCGGTGGTTTCTTCTGGAGGACACGTCTCGCGAGGTAGTCTTCCTGGGTGTCTGCGTGTCGCTGTCGATGGAGGATCTTCGGGAATCTCGGCGAGAGGATCTCTCAAAGTCGTCCAATCTTACGTCCCTTCGTACTGAGGAGGCTCTTTTCACCGGAACATCGTCTTCTTTCCGTCTAGCTGATATTTCTGCCTTCTCGAAATGATCGTCGGAGGAGCTGGTGACCCTGGACGATCGAGCTTGTAAGGTGGACCTTCGATCCGACGATTCCTCGTCGGTGCTTCGTCTTCGACGATAGCTACCGTTTGGAACGCGATCCAATCGCGAATCTAGTTTCGAGAGTCTGCGTTCGTCTTGGTCGTAACGTCGACGAGAATTGGTGGTGTTTTGCAGCGGTGAGTACTGTTTGCTGGAGTGACCCTCGGACCATTGATCCTCGGTGCTCGTCATCCTCTCTTCGGACATTAAGCGCCTGAGAGCAATATTATTAATAATATTAATAAAAATTGCCAAAATTACTGTCGCGAATTTCAACTTACTCGCGACGGCTCCTGGGTAACAAATTCCTATCGTCCTCGTGATAGCTCCTCTGTCTGGCGCTCCTGGACACGCTTCCCCGTCTGCTTCTCGAGCTGCGCGAAAGCCTGTCGTCGAAGTCCGATTCGCCGGAATCCTCGGAGCTCGCGTCGGACGGCGATCCTTGCGATCTTCTGGATCGCGATCTCGAGGCTAACGATTTCCTGGATTTCATACTGGGCGAGGGCGAGGCAGCCCTGGATCTTCTGCTCGATTTTAAGCTTCTCGCGGGACTGTGCGCTCTCGACAGAGAGCCTGGATAATGCGGTGGAAGCATTTGCGACGGAGGATATCCCATGGGATATGCCCACATTGGTGGGTGGTTCAAACTCATCGTCGAACCACCCATGGTCATGTCCCATGGGGGATTCGGTGGGTACCACATTAGGGGCACGCCTCCTGGGCCCAGATGAGCCATCGATTGTGTCTGAAGAATAAAATAATCGGCCACGGTTAGATGTTCTTGCGAAATTCGAGGTGTCAATTCAAATTACCTGATGCATTCCAGGATTCCACATTTGAGGCGAGGATAAATCGCAAACGCTGGTCGACTGCATCATAGATCTAGGCGGGGGCGGAGGTGGAACCGGAGGCGGCAGTTTCGGGCTGCCTAAGCTAACTGGCCTTGCGTTCATCGCGTCTCTCGAAATGTCGGAGGAAGTGTGTCTTCTTCTGTTCGCGTCCTGAGCTCTCATCGCTTCTTGGTATTTTCTGTACCTCTCCTGAACATTCGCAGAAGGATTTCATGTTTCGTACTCCAATTTCGAGGAGTTCCCTCCTCGTTAGAGAAGCTCACCTGAAGAGTAGACATCTTGTCGGTGCCTGTTCCCGATGTAGATCCATCGATAGAGGGTGAGTTGACGGCGTGCATGGATTTCGACACGGTTTTCGCGTCTAAGGTAGCCGAGAGTGGCCGGCCGGTATTCGGTAGATTTCGCTTCAAGCTGCCGACCCTCTCGATCAAGGAGAGATTCGTGGATCCCTGGTTTTGCGTCGATTTAGCCTAAGCGCGAAACCTGAACTTTATTACACGATCGGGACTGTAACCGTAGTCGTCACGTGTCGTCGTATTTCTCATCTTTGAAAATTCTTTGTTCTCTTTCGTTTCTCTTTTTTTGTTTTTTTTTTTTTTAACAGGACGGCGACGAGAGGAAGGTATTCGAATGAAAAAGGGTTGGCGCGTCTTCACGGCTGAAGGTAGCTCGAGCAGGGCTAAAATTAAATTGCGTCGACAGGCGAGGCTAAATCGATGATAAACAAAGCGTTAGTAGACAAAGTTAAATGAAATAAAACGACAGTGTTCCTGATGCTGAATCAAGACCACTTGCAACTTAAATAATACAAATTATAAATAAACATTGGGTTAATTTGTGCGATGCTGTAAGCTGAAACTAATGTACATCGTGTGCATGTTAAATGAACAGTGAAAAAAAAAAAAAAAAAAAAAGAAATAAATAAAAGTAAGGCGGATCGAAACACCCTGTTCACCGTAATCATTCGTCCTGCCATATTCACCGTGGTGTTAATTGTTTTAATCAAAGCTCACATATGATGTACGAAAGGCAGGAAGCTCAAAATTGTTTAATATCTCGTCTTTTGCAGCCATTGATCGTCGAATCGACAGTGTGAAAGAGTGAACAGGTTCAGTGAATACGGCAGTAGTGTTTTGCGGTAACGTGGTGTATTAAAAAGAAACAACGACAATATACAATAAAATCTGTCAGTATCTTGAGAAACAACTTAAACATCTATATAAAAATTCCTTCACGCGACTAACGGTTGCGCTAAATAACAATCATCGTTGCCTCGGTGTGACGTGTTCCCTTTTCCCTCTAGAAACAAATCGGCCGTCGTTCGAGAAGTCTTTGTAAGTACATGATATAAAGAACTAACAACAATTAACAAATAACATCTCCAAGTAGATTTCGTCGAGGACGATACGAATCACCGGAGACAAAGTTGCGACTGATGGTTGTTCACTAGTCAGGTTAACAGAACAAAGGGTAAATGCATGAAATTTTAAAGGGATGGGCGTCTACCGCGGGCGAGTGACATCGGATGAGAAAATTTAGGAATCGGTAATGCCCGCCTTACTACTCGCTGTTTTAAGAAGATAAAAAAATATGATTCGCGACTCTCGCAACCTGGTATCCGCTGATCTCGAACGAATTTCGTAGCGAGCCCCTGATTCGACTCGGTATCGCCTTGAGGTCGACGAGGCGAGGTGAGCCTGAAAGAAAATTCACGAAAAGGGATGAAAGCGTCAGGCCAGGTTGCATCCTACCTGAGCGTTCTTGCGATTTCGTCTGGGTGGAGGGATCGGTGGTGGACTCGACAGGTTCTCCCCTTTCGGTGGCAAAGGCGGTCGCGTTTTCGTCGCGAATTCCGTCAGGATTCTTCTTCGTACGTGGCCTTTTCTCTTCGGGTGCTTATGGTTCATGTCGTCGCAGGCCTCGCAGTAATTGCCGTTGCAGATGTCGCAACGTGCGAACACGTTCTCCGTGCCGCATAATGCACACTTGCCGACGTTCGGTGTCGAGGACTTTAGAGGTTGCGGTCGGGTGGGAAATTCGATGATCTCGTAGTCCGGGTCACCACAGTCTCCGGAGAGCGAGGGTGGAGGTATCTTCGGTGGGGTCGGTGGTCGTCGTTGCTGATGTTGTTCCGTTTCCTTCTGCTGCTGCGCCTTTCGGAAACCGAAACGTTTTCTAGTTATTCTACTCGATGGGACGAGGGAGGGAAAAATGTTGAAGTTAGGGTGTGTTCGTACGCACCATTACCCAGTGGGGCATGGACCTTGCCATGCGCAAACGGGTCGATGGGTTCGAGATGGCCATCGGGCGCCATTTTTCAGCTCCCGGGTTCTGGAACAGATTTCAACCTTTGGAGAAACGTTTCGCACGCGGATCACGACAGATTTTTTTTTACATGCAATTTCGAATTGGGCTGACAAGCTGGCAGCGTCGATGACTCGTGTTCGGCTGCCAAGCAATGCCAACCGTGAATTCATGTCATCGCACCTTGGACGAACCGTCGCGTCGCGTCGGTGAATGCGATTTCGCAGACGCACAATCGAGATTTTTCGAGTGGATCATCGAGAAAGCGTGACGTCACTGGGCCGGAAGCGGCCAAAATCGAATCTATTTCTGGGGATAAAAAAATCCTGTTCCGCGTCTAGAAATAAAACCGAGCCGAATGGCACGCGACACCACCGGTTCGTACGAATGCACAGAAATTCGCAAGCGAATGATCGATCGTTCGCTCAAACGTATCAAGGATAATGTTCGTGTTTGTTTGAACAAGTTAACTCGATACGAATGAAATTTCATTTATTTATAAAAAGCAGGAAAGGAATAAATCGATCGTTCATCGTTAGGTTGCGATGAGACTATTCCCTGGGTGGAAGAAAAAATAATTTCACGATTCCAGTCCAGTTGAGTTCCACATGCATGAATTAGAATCTCGAATTAGAGCCATACGTATCTTTAGAACGTTCGCCCCTTCTGTTCTTCCCGACGGTTCACACTCTTTTGTTCTATGCTGCTGTCCGATCTACTATGCGAGCAACAAACCGTCTAATTTCCAAGAATTACAAAATTAGATCGCGCCACGATAGCTACAAACCTTCTTCACTATCCACAGATACAGCTAGAGAAATGAATTCTAACAAGAGTAAATTATAACAATTTCTTCGCCTGTCATAATCATAACAAGTTTACTCGAAAACGAAGAGCATTTTGATACAAAAGAATCTATTTACTCTATCAGACGCTATTTCTTGATGAAATTGCAAAAGTCTAGAAATGTTGGAAACGTTCCAAACTCTAGCCCCTGCCCACCAGACATCTTCTATAAACAATTTTTTCAACCACGTAATAATATCTCCTTGGAAACTTCATCATCTTCCGGTTAATGATCCTACAAACTTCAATTTAAATTCAATCTTGAAGGCGTTTAAAATCTATAGACTCGTTTAATAGCTGGTGATCGAACATGATCGATCGTTTTGTTGACACGTGTCGCGAATCGCGTATCCCTGCGGAAGTAGGCGAAGTTGAATCCCAATCAACTAAATTAAGTTTCTAAGCTCGTTTCCCTCACAGTTTAGCGGAAGTAGAATGAGATCCAGATGCTTTCGCCGCGATAACAGTCATCATAATCCCGTGTCTTTATAAACAAACTTCGTTTCAGCTATGAAATTCGTCACTTTTTCTCGATACGATAGTAACGATAATACGAGGATTGCCTTATTTTTTAACTGTATTCGGAAAATTATGAATTACGAATTATGTTTACAAATAGGGAATCGAAGGCGTCACATTTATAACTCCAGTAGTTCGCTACTCGTGTTAACGCGACGAGTGAAGGGTTTAAGAGTGTTACACTCTAAGGGTGGTAATGGAATTGTTAAAGGGTAAGCTAGCAATATTTATCTCTAAGATAACAAACTTATTTAGAAGGTCTTAATGAATTTCGCGAGAACGAAACGCGTTTCGAACTATCGAGGAAATGGAGGATGTCCACGCGGTGGAGAGCGGTTCCAGGCCGATGCACCATGTTATCGAGAACAGCACTAAGAAAACAAAGGACGCACTGTGGCACGTATCGTATCGTATCGTATCGTATCGTATCGTTACGTACGGCCATGATGCGACGGATAATGCACTCGTGAAAGGAAGATCGCACTCACATTCATGTGGGACCACACGAAGGCGATTTCTCCGATTTTCCTCGGCAACTGGTCGTCACGGTACTGGCTGCTTCCGAGCGTTCGGCAACGTTCGCCTAGAAGGAGAGCTGGTTGCATCGCCACCAGCCGAAATCTATTTCCGTAACGTGGCTGCTGGACCGATGCCACCGTTTTACCCAAGTCTCCCCGTTCGCGTAAATATATCAGGAGACGACGGCACGCAACTTCTCTAGACCGACTTCTCTTCAGGGTATACGAAACCCGGTCGCGCCTCTTTTGAACGGCGCTCTACAGGGATCTTGATCTTGTTTTTCGTTCGCTCGAATTCCACGGGCAACGTCGGCGAAATTGGGACGTTCGCGATATTCGTGGCACACGTCGGGCTACGGTTAGGTTTAACGAACCTTTTTCTCCCTCGATTTTCCACGGAAAAACGAGATGTCTTTGATTTTGTAAAGCGAACGCGAAACCTGTTAAAATACTCGCGATGCTTCTCTCGCGGAGGAGAAAGAAACGTTCGATAAAGGTACAAATTATCGGCATTCCATTCACGGTAATTCATTGGTCGGCCAAGGAAGAGGGGAAGAAAAAGTACATAGGTATAAGGAATGCTCGAAAGGCGGAACATACGAGCTGGAAGTCGTAAAACTAAATACAGTCAAGTGTAATTACATGCTAACTGTGCTCCTTCTTATATTTGCATCTGTATTATATCGAGGTTGCATCATCGCTTACAACTCGCTTCCCACGTGCGTAGAAACGCTCGCACTCGCGTGGGCATCAAATGCCGGATTACGTTAGAACTTTGACTTCTTTCCTTCTCCTTTCAAAACACGAGAAACGGCACGAAAACCGCCGACAATTTATCGACTCGAGATCGTTATCTTAACAATTCATTTCAATAATTTATCTACCTGTTTTCCATTGAAACGAGGAAAGGTTTGCACACCTACGGTATATCCACCTTTTAGATGATCTCATTTCAGATAGATCTTTATTTTCTTTTATCATAATGATTCTTTTGCTACACTTGCCTTCTTTTCCTCCAAAAAAACTAGTCGAATACTATTATGAAATCATTTAGATTTTCGAAGACAGTAGCCGACTTTCTCGATGAACGTACGGTTCATCGTCTGGCTAAAAAGTCCACGCACATTCCACCGAATTGTGTTCCCAATGCGTCAGTGAAAGTTGCGGAGATAAAAGAAGTAGGCGAAAAAACGATGCCAAAGCAAACAGAAAGTCACGCTCTTCCATCGTTTACAATTAACCGTAGAAAATTGCAATAAATCGAACAAGTTGTATCGGTGTACGGAATATCGTGTATCGCGTGGCATGGTTCACGGGAGGATTTCAAAGTGATCGCGTCGAGCATATCCTAAAACGGCGCCCACCAATCTCGCCGAGCATACCCACCACTCGTTCTCAGCTTTCTTTTTTCCCATCGGGTATCGATCAGCCGTTCGAATGAAAGTAGTGAATCGAGACCGCGTTCCAACAACCTCGAGAAATTACTAGGGCCTGAAATAATCATCCATTATTAACCCTAGAGTGGGCGCGTACAGTATATCCGACTGACGCGATGATTAATGTTAAATATTACAGTCATTATCGAACCTGCAGAGATCAATAAGGCTTTAGTTGATTATTTTCACTTGGGAAATAATATTTCTTATCTATTAGCCGATGATACCAGGGTATTTAGATTACAAGATCGATTCAATGAAAAATAGCAAGTTTTGCCTTTGAAATTTCACTCGATCCCTCGGATCGATGATCTTCGTGTTTACTCCTGACACTATCCGCCTAAATTAGGTCTTAAAAAGGAAGCCGTAAGAGGCAGTAAAGAAGAAAAGAAAGCAAATTCGTTCGCAACAAAACGTTTCTCAAGGAACATGTGCGAGTATCGGTACAGGTGAGAGAGAGAGAGAGAGAGACAGAGTATCACCAGGTGAGCTCACGTAAAACAGTGATACCTACACACCGGTTCAGGCCACGGTTCTCCAACGATAGCGCCACCTGAGAGCCAGAACGGTCCCTCAAAATGGCCGTCCCTCTCACCTCAGATCTTCCTGGAACGTCGAAGGAAGCAGGTGGCGATATTCAGGTTCGAGCTCTCGCGTGGCCGCCTCGCTTGGTGGCGAGACCTCATTTTCCAGGTGGCGGACACACGAAAACCGTGGCAGAAAACGTTCTTACGCGTGGTAGCGAAGGTCGAGAAGCAACCGGAACAGCCGTGTGTAACCGTGAACCAACAACGATCCGAACCATCAACGAAACTACCATCGTAGTTTCAGCCTTGCCTCTCGACTAATTTGTCGGCAGGTGAATCTATTCCTGGAATCGTCCTACGTCCTTCTGTGCGACTATTCGACAAGGTGCGCGCGAGCGCACGCGCGCAAAACACGAGGTCCTCTTCGGCACCTGGTGACTTCAATGCCTGGCGCGGCGGTAACCGGAACAGGAAAACACTCGCCCGTGGATATTGTGTACGATTTTTTCGCAGTGTCGTGCTTCCTGCTAGGTGAACACGCCTCTTCGGATATCGAGTAAATCGTGCCCGATCGAGGAACACGGAAGAAACAATAAAGAAACTCGCGAAGAGATGGTCGAGCCACACCGGGAGCAGCGTCGAGGTTTCTCGTGGAGCACGCTCGCGGATATGGAAGCATGAGAACGTGAGTATCGTTGCTACCAACGGGGAAAGAAGGGAATCTGGCCTTGCCTCAGCATTTTTCCATCCAGCTACAATTGTTTGCTCCCAACAATGACTGCTTCGATATTTGCCTGGAGAACATTCCTGCCCAGAGACACGATCTTTCATAGCGTTACCCCCGAGCTGAATTTCTTTCCATTCACTTAATTCGCGTACACCACGGTGATCGGTACACGTGTTTGACAAATCTGATGCGTCCCGAACTGGTTCTCGTTGGTTCATCAGAATTGCAATTCGCTTCTTGGCATCGATAATGGCATTAGTCAAAAATAATTGAAATGTCTATTCAGTAGATAATCATGGATTGATTGTTTCATTGTAGTCGAATATTGACCACGTAACTTTGCTCAAATTGACCCAGATATATCAGAGAAGGAATTAGTTTAGAAGGAAAAAGTGCGGAAGATTGGCAAGAGGCGAATTCAAATTTAAGGATGACGGCGAGTCGTGCAACTTGTACCAGGCACGTTCGATGTGCCCGTTCAATGGAATGCCTGTTATTCACCGGTACTTTCGCGCGTTAAGTAACCAGACAAACTGTCGCAAACACGGGAACACGCCTTTTTTCCAGGGGGACAAGGATGCCGTTAACTCCGTCAGCTCGCGTCCACCTATCTACGTATTCTCTTCGATTCACCTGGATAAAGTTTCTCGTTTCTTTGACTCTCGATACACGCCAGTTCCTTTTTCTTCTTTTTTTTTTTCTTTCTTTTTATTCCCTCGGTCGCGCGTGCGTGTCGGTGTGCGCGCACGCGAGTGCATGCATAGGTGTGTACACACGCGTGGAGCGTAAATACCTAGGAGAAGGTGGGTCAAAATGGGGACACACCGGTGTTCGAGCCGAGCGTTATCCGAGCGTTATCCGAGCGTTATCCGAGCGTTATCCGAGCGTTATCCGAGTGATAAACGAGGCGAGGAATGCGATAAATAATTTTCACGCGCGTGACGTCGCGAATTTTTGACGGATCGTGTCATCGGGCCGAGATGCATATCATTTTCAACGGACGGGAATGAAAAGGGGAACGGAAGCGGGAACGACGCGAGGGGTCGTTCCGAAACGTAGAAAACATCGATATTGCGTCGACGAAATCGTTCGAGCCTGGCGAGCCGTTCGATGAATGAAAAGCTACGGACCTCCGTAATTGGAAGCGTCGCGTTTTACGGCGATCGTTACGATATTTCCTCTTGCCAGGAGATTGCGTAACGCGGCACGATTGAAATGCACGCAACGAGTTGCTGATTTATTCGCCGCGTGCCACGGGAAAAATACGATCTCTGTGGATGGAGAAAAATGAAGGGAAATGGAGCGACCGATGACGAGGGGGAAATTTATGAGCATACCGGTACGTCGACGGACACAAATCGATCCTGCCCGTTTCTTCGTTAACCCGACGATACGAGTGAACCTAATTATCGCCCGTATGAAGATTCTTAATACTTCCGCGTTCGTTACGTTTCTAGTTCACGAGCTTTCGCAGGTAAACGAAATCCTAAAGAGTCACTTGCCCTAAAGAAAGCTACCGCGCGTCTGTCGCGAAACGAAATGCTTTCTCCGGATAAGACACTCGTGCGCGTTCTCCGGAAGAAGAGTCATCCAGCGCGTTTCCTTGCCACGGATTTACTCGCGGGCTGAAAATCATCGGGATCGAGGGGCAGCGGTTGAAAAAAAGAATCAGTGCGTGTCGTTGCGAGCGGAAAAGCAGGATTCGTTGATGCGTGAGAGGAACTATCCTGCGTTTATTACGGTATTGTTGTGTGCACGCTCGCTAACGTTGTGACGTAATCGCCATTGTGGTCGTGCAACGGTGCAGAATTCGTGGAACCGTCGGAAGAAGAGAAGAAAAGAGAGAGAAAAAAAAAAAGGGAAAACCTCGATCGTTTTATGTAACAGGATCGATTAGGCGAATCGGTGATACCGGGGCTAATAATTTTCGAAAAATTAGCCACGGTTCATTTAGAAAGTTTTCGCGTCCGACCACGCTCGGACTTTCGTCTCCGCGCGGATACGCTTTTCTCCTCGATCGCTTCGATGATGTAATTTCAACGTTGAAGGAGATCGAAGAGGCGTGCGTGAACGTAGGTAAGACGGGAAACGAGCATGAATGAAATACGCTTTTTTTCTTTTTTTAAACGGAGGTCATCGTGGATACGAGAGAACAGTATGGAAGAGTTAACGAGGACGCGCGGTTCGTTCACACGGGCGAAAATTTCGATGACGTTATGTGTATACCGATGGAATGAACCTATCGCCAGTTATATGGCCAGGACGCGTGCAAGGAGATCGCGATATCTGTTGTAATTATCCGTTCGTTAGGTCGCCCACTATGAAAAGTATTGGCAACGATTCGTTGCAAAAGCAGGAAAGTGTTGGCGGCACGATTATTTTTTTTCTTTTTTTACTTTTTTTTCTTTTTTTTTCATTTTTTTGCCAACGTCGATGCGTTTAGTTGATCCTTTAATCGCTCACGATCGTGATGCTATCGCCAGCTGGATTTTCTACCACAACTTATCTGTGTTTCTTTCTCTTTCCTGGACATCCTGGCAAACGTAATTATCGAGAGTTGGGAAACAGCCTCGGTCTGATTCGCGCGAGACTTTTGCATTACGGTAATTACCTCCAATTAAGGCACGCGTTTTGCCAGTATCGTTGAATTTATGAAACGTTCCTGCACTTTGTAAAAGGAGAAGATCGAGCTGACACGTTTTCTAGTTTCTGATCTGATATCGGATCAATGTTATTCAAGTTAGAAACGAGCCGGTCTAGTCGAATCGTGACGCGTTTGTTTAACAAAATTACCGACTCGTGTTTCTTCGAGTAAGATTGTATAATTGTTCGCTGCACGCGATTCATTGCCCACTTTTTCTTTGTGAACGAACAAATTACCCAACCTGATGTCTTCATTTCTACGAGTATATGAAATATTAAATTGTAGAAATTGGGACATTTGCTTTGAACGGTACGCGATAGGAGCATTTTATTTTCCAGTGCTCCGGCGTTAAAGATTTAACTATTGACCCCGAATCGAGCGGTAGAAAAACTGAACGGTGCTGTTCGAAAACGGACAGAGCCTTTCAGTCACGAGTAGTCGCGGCTCGCAACGATTCGCCCGACCGCGTTGAAAATTTGCGATCCGGTCGATCGGGTCCGCGTCTATTACCGATCTCGCTCGCTTTTTCCCCGATATTCTATCTCGCCTATCTCGCTGACTCGAAGTCGTTTTACTTGCCAAGGTCGCACGTGCTGGCTTCCAGAGCGGATTGAAGGCAGCAGATCGATCGGGTTCTATCTAGATCAGTAGCTGAACAAGAGGATACCCCGTTCCGAGACGATGTATCGGCCGAATTTCTACGAGAGCACGTGTCTGAGATGCGCTCAGACCGTGTACCAGGTGGACAGAGTTGGTCCGCTGAAGGATTTCACCTTCTTTCACGCGGGTTGCTTCAAATGTGCGATCTGCGGTACCAAGTTGACCCTGAAGACCTATTACAACAACCAGCACACGATCAATGACAAAGAGGTGTACTGCAGCAGTCACGTACCGAAACCGGGTCCGGGAACCTTGGACGGGTCCTGCGTGGGCATCAGGAGCGCCCTGAACGTGCCCAGGAGCGGTTACGTCAACGAGCAGATCAGAGCTGGCGGCGCGTCACCCCGAGGGGTTTATCCGCCTTGGTGAGAAATCATTCCTTCTTCATTATTTTTTGTTTTTTTGTTTTTCATTTTCTTTTTTACATTTAATTATGTTCCTTTGCCACTGTTCTATCTCGTTATCGTAGCTGCATCACGAACCGAAGAAAATATACCGATCGGTATTCGTGTCGCATTCCAGTCCACTGGAATTGTTCAGCCTTTTGTCGAGCAAAGGCGGCTCGATGAAATAACAGTAACCATAATAAGGAAATTAGTAACACGTAACGCGAAGGGGCAGCTAGTTGCAATGGAAACGAGGCCGGTTATTTGCATTCTCTCCTTTGTACGTACCGCTTACTACCGGAAGTAATAGGCGCTTCGACGTCGAGGCTCGCGTATCAGGAAAAGTGTCGTGTCCTCTCGTGACACGTCGCGGGAACGTGTAATTTTCGAACGAGCGCAACGTGATCAGCGCTTAATTAAACCTTCTTAAATCGCGTTTGACGATTCCAAGGACGTGGCTGGTCGTACGTAACCGGTATCGTTATTTCAAAAGTTACAGGTTGAATTACGATGATGCTGACGCAACAGTGAATCACCATAGTAACGTCTCTGATAACGAAATGGTTAAAGTTCATGCTTCTTTTTCCTTTTAGAAGAATTACAAAACGGTTGGGATCAGGAGAAAATGAACGGCTCTTTTACGTTTCCTGTGTTTTAATGGGATACTCCGGAAAGTCGATCGACTTGCCTCGCGTTCGGTTTCACCACTTTCCCTTTGGTGTTAAATCGAGATCCTCGTTTAAATGGAGTATCGAAGGAATTCTTTTTTTTTTTTAGAAGAATTTCAAGATGGTACGTTAGTCTACTGTGGCGGTCAAAATAGCAGAGAAATTGCAGAGAAGCTTCTTCGAAAGTTACCATTTTACGTTCTACATACTTTAGTTAGAAAGGAGTGTGATGAAAATTAATCCTCCCCTTTCACATGGAAATTAACAAATCGCTCACGTATCTCGGACACTTTTCAACAAGTTCACGAGTCGTGCTGAATTTTTCTCACGAACCACGACGCGACAATTATTTCCTACAAACACACTTTGCTCCCCGGTGATCCTCGAGTTCCATATACATAGGCGACGGTCGACTCGGTTGGTTCATCTTCGTTACATAACGCATCGCCACATTGGCCTTAATCCGAGCGAGCAAAGTCAGAAACCGCGATTCCTCGCAAGAAGTGCACTTGCTCTTCGACCGGAATGTCAATGGCTGACCCGATTTCCTGGAAATAACTAGCCTCTTCTCTTGAGATTCTTCGTTGACCATGCGTTCTTCAATCTTCGATCGATAAAGAAAGATATCTTTTTCTCTTTTAAATTACACACCGACTTCCTTGGCTTGGAATTCCGAATAATAGATAACAGAAGGAAGAAAAGGTTAAACTTGACGGTACCAAGCGAAGGACCCGAGCGATGGCAATTTAGCGAAACTCCTTTAATCCAGATTAATCGAGGATAGAGATTCGAATCGAATTAAAATTCCTATGAAATTACACTAAACCACAATCGTCCGTTCGGTTAATTCCACGACGAAGACTCCGTATTAACCAGCTTTTACCGTAATTACGGCTGGCGGCTTTAAAAAACGAGCCAACCAACCAACGACCTGTTGCGGCGTTCGGGAAATCAGGCAGCAAACGACGCGCGGGAAGAAGAAGCGCGATTCTATCCTTGCTGATTTCTCGAATCAATTATTTCTTGACTAATCGATTTCTTAATCACCTGATCGAAGAATCCAAGAAATCACGTAACAGTCGCATCGGTTATGTGAAAATCCAGCCTCGATCGGTTAAATGAATGTGTTACACCTCTGGCTCGTTCTCTCCTCCGGGGTTCATTCACTCCCGACGATGCTTCTCCTCCTCCTCTCTGTCTCGCGTGAACGCGCGCTCCTTATGTAAGCCGGAGGCAGCTCACGAAACGCGGCTACGAGAAATTCTTCGAGATTTCTTGCGCGTTGCACGACGACGGAGAAAACGATCCGGACGATAAATCAACGCGTCGAGATTTCGGCAGCTCGTGCACAAACGACTTTCGAAAACCGTCAGTCGAGCAGGGAATTTGCAATCCTCTCATTTCTTCGTCCTCGAAGAAATCCGGTCGATTTGTATCATCAGTTACGTCGTTATACCCCTTTACACGATATCGATCTTTAATCGATCAGCTTAGAGAATAGAAACCGCGAGAAAGGCCGGAAACTCTAATTCTTGAAGATATGCTAACCTACTTTTTTCCTCCACGATTTGCGTAGAATCGTGGCATTTGCATGGTAAACACCGGAAGTGGTAATAACTATGCGAAGGAATCACGGTTAGCAGAGGTTCTTCTAGGAAAGAGTAGCAAGTCGAAGAGTAGACGACCGACTTTTGATCGATTCTTTTCTATTTGTCGCGAGGAGAAGCTAGTTTCGTCGTTACTTGGACGATCCCTAGCCCCCTTGAAGACCCGTTGCATCATTTTGTTGCAGCTACGATAATGTAGACTCGCCTAATTGTGCCAGGCACCTGAACGGACACGGTTCACCACCAGCCACGAATTCCTCGCAACGGGACGTCCACGGGAACTCGGCAGGAGGAGGAGGAGGAGGAGGTGGATCCTCGCCGTACAACCATAATTATTCCGGGGACGGAAGCTACCAGTATGGCAGATTCGATGCGAGCGCCCTTCACATCGCCCATGCCCTTAAGCAGACCGAGCTACAAAAGGGTTACAGCAAGGCACGCGAGAAACCCATCGATTATTATCTGGTGAGTCATTCGCATAGTTGGTGAAATCATTCGTCACGGTCAACGCCATATTAGGTGCGAGTTACCTATTCCGTTCGCGAATCCGCGTCAATTAAAAGGCATCGGGTTAATTACCGCCACGCTCGGCATCGTTTTATCGAAATTATTACTAGCTCGCTGCTTTGCTCTCGTAAAACGCGTTCCCACTCTACGGATTGGATACAAAGTGTGTTGCAGAGTTACTCCGAACTTCATTCGATCGTTTCGTAAAAGCTCATGAATACTTCGGAAAAGAGAATAAAGTCTCTTCAGTGGAAACGATCCAATTGTAAAATGCTGGAATTTTAATTGTTTCAACATTCTTTCGAAGCACGGAGGATGTTATTTGAATTACAACATTTCTGGACTACTTAGCTTCAATTACTCTCCGCTAATTAGGATTACGAACATTCCATCACCATTGAATTCGTTCACAGGTGTTTTCCTCGAGTCGTACGTAGGCGATTATCGAATTCCATTATGATTAATCGTGAAAATTCGTCGATGCTGCTGATAATATGTCCACATCTTTGCGCAGCTAATTAAACCACATTCGAATGAACGTTAACCGTAAGCGAGGCGGTAGAGATCGCGCGCAAGATGCAGTCAAATATCCGGTTCAGCTCGTTCTCTCGCGCGGCACAATAAAATCAGGTATTTCGAGGGTGTTCAACGACGCGTAGAAGATCGGCGATCGGTGATTAACCAGAGCGAGAGACGGCAAGCGGGTGAATGGATTTTAATGGAAAATCCTCGTTTAGCCGAATTTCCGAGGCGTACAGGTAGGAATGCGAGGGCGATGCATTCCGTGTCAGCTTCGGTGACTTTCGTGGCGGTGCGCGCGAAATCGGCTTGACAAGCGAGGAATGCGTACCGCGGCGAAAACGGACTCTACATGAAAATGAGATTGTCGTTGCTTTTCCCATCGGGCCGACATAATATAAGAAGGCCGAGCCGCTAGTCGCTCCACTATCCGTGCGCGTTTTCTCTTCAATCCGCTTTCGCGGATCCCGCGAATCCGACACGAGACCTCTCCCACTGTTAGCTATTATAATAATACGCGTCAAAAATTCTCGCTTCTATTTTCTAGACGAAAAGAAAAAAAAAGAATTGGAAATTTGCAAGAACGCTCGCCGATTTCTACGATTCGCGGAACGATGGTTTCCTCGAGGATCGGTTCGACTCGTTCGAGCGGACAATTTCGTCTTCCCCGGACGACTATTCGATCGCAAGAAACTCGGCGTCGTAGCCCCGTGAAGCGTAAACGATCGCAAAAATTACTCTCCCCAAGAAGTCAACCGCTTCTGTCGATCCTTCGTTTTCGCGTTCCTTCCTCGCGTATTCCGTCAACGTTTCACGCGACTGATAGACTTTCTTACACGCTTCCAAGGTATCCGAGAACAATAACGATTGAACGTTCTCGTGAACGTAGCTCGTACCTACTGTTACTACGGAAGAAAGCGTGTTCCGTCTTCTTTTCTCTGGGTTGCCCTCTACACGCGAATAAAAGCCCGCAGAATCGTTTCCGCTTGCGGTACTCTACTGCGCTTGATAGTTAATTAGAGAATCCTAGCTGGCCTGCGGAAAGCGTTTCCACCAGAGAAACAGAGAGAGTGAGAGAGACGGAAGGATTTTTACCGTGCGCGTATCCTGTTAAGGAACAATTGTGGCTTACCTCTCACGCGTCTTTGCGAACAAACGACCCATACATGCTAATTGCAATCACTGTCGCGGTCAATGGTATACGAGACTCGATCGATTTTATTGTTACTTTCTTCTGCACTTTTTCGCTGCTACTTCGAATCGAGCGGTTTCCAGCTCGAAATTGAATGTTGCACGGAAACGAGATTAGAGTAGTTTGATAATGGAATTATATCAGGCGCAAAATACCACTTTCGGCATCTCAATTTGAAGTTTAAGCTTTTCTAAAACTAACCGATCTAAAACTTCACCGAAAGTGGAAAATACATTTTCCCTCGTGTAGGTACAGAGATGTAGATAAAGCTTCTCCATTTATTTGTTTGCTTTAAATTTTAATTTACCACTCCATACCGCCCTGCTAATCATCATTAGTTTTAATAAGAACGTTCCTTGTGGGTGGTAGAAAAATTTTCTTATCTCGCGGTTGAAAACAGGAAGCGGATAATCTTGTGAAACAATGTTTGAGTTTAATTAAGAATAAGTGTGATAAAAATCTGGTGTTTGCAAGCGAATAGAAGGAATTAACAGGGAGGGAGAGATTTTCTTGAATATCGATCAGATGGAACACGTCGAGTTTGAATCGACGGGCAATTTTCGTCTTAGAAGGTAAACATTTTTTATTTGAGGGGAAAAAGCAAACAGAAGCAAGAGGATTCGCGATGAAATCGCGCGAGGGAGCATCGAAGAAAATTAGTCGATTACTCGAATTAATCTCATTAGCAGAGTTTTTTAATAACTCGTCAAAGTACAAATGAGCATATTTTTATCTGTCCCAAGAAACGTTCCTCTAAACAGGAACTATTAGAATTCTGTCGAGTGGAATGTTGATTAACCAGTCGGTGATGGGGGAAAAAGTTAAAGGAAATTACTTCTTCAATGACACGAGTAAACAGATTGACCGAATTAATCCTGTTAACGTGCTTTCTCGTCGTCTCGAGGGCAAACAAGACTTTTACCAGACCTGTTCGAGCATTAGCAACAAACGAACGACGATCACTGATTTCAAAATAGAAACTTCTCAATTGTTGCGAGGAATCCGGTCTCGGAAAAGAAAAGAAAAAGAAAGAGAAAGAAAGAGTAATTGCACCTGTCGCTGCAACGGACTGACGCTCGTCAAAGCAATTTTAGCAAATTCAACCGCAACCTTCTGTATAAGGTGTTTCAATAAACAACATCGAATTTTCTGTGTTTCAAATGTCAATGGACTCCAAGATTGTCCTTATTTATGGTTATTCCAGGCAACAACCTGTAATGTCGTGTCGTAACCGTAACGCAAGCTTAGATTAGAGAAAATCGCTTGAGCAATGCCAGACCAAACTCTCGAAGAAGCTCTTTTTAGCGCGGATTCGCTTCGTTTCGTCATTTCTACGAGACGAGATCGTGGGAACGAATCGACGAACGGTAGATGTCCACGTTGGGATCGTCCCGTGGATCGTGGAACGCGCGTGGTTTCCGGCGCGACTGCCGTCGGAACGAAAGCAGAAACGCGGCGTGAAAGTAAACCGTACAAAAACTGGACGAACACCGGCTATGGGACGTTTAGGAACGGCCTCGACCTTTTGATAAACGAACGCGTTTCGTTTTAATTCCACCTACATCTGAATGAAACCCGTTCGAATTCAAAATTATTCTACCTAATTCGTAATTTTCTAATTACCAGGATCGGGATGAGCAAACGCGTTTGGAGATGAAACATCGCAAAGAAGAGGACGATTTGTATCGGAAGTTTGCTCATCATCGCGAGGAGGAGGACAGACGGATTCGAGAAGAATTCAGGGTACGTAGTTTCGATTATTTGATCCGATTCGAGATTAAAATGTCGCGTTTCTCTATTGATCAGGACGAATGGGAGAAGGAATTGGAACAGCTATCGGCAAGATGGGAACGCGAAAAAGGCGGAAGAGTTCGTACCCAACAGTTCCAACAAGAGAAGGAGGACTTGGAGAAGAACATGACTCTCCGCAGGGACAAGAAGAAGGAAAGTCTTACGCGCAAAATGTTGGAGCACGAACGGTACTCGTTACCTAATTAAACTGATTCTATGCTGCGCTACTTGGGGTCAATGTCATTATCGACATCAATCGACCTACCTTAACTCAACTACCTTTGTTTTAGGAAAAGTGCCATTTTTGTTTAATTTTTGGTATCGTAGAAAATATTTTTAATAGAACAGAGCCTTTGAATGTAGAGGAGAGATGATGACTAAAGTTTAAGGGCCAGAATGAGTCACCTATATTGGGATTTCAAATATCTTTTTTATTTCTGATGATACGACTTCATTAAAAATGAATGACGTACATAAAAAATCTAGAGTCTGACCCCTCTAATCAATATCCTTCTCAGTCACTTCGTCGTATCATGCAGAACAATAGAAATATTTTAAATTCCCGTCGAGGCAAGAAATCAATGTCCCATGCGTCGTCGATGGTAAGCCAGACACAGGATCGTTACAAATTAAAGCATTTTCGGTGTACTTTGTCTCCCTGTCGCGAATCGAACACAATTGGCACAATTAGAAATTCCTCGTTAATACTATTCGGCGAAGTTAATCTGACCCGCGGCTATTTATTTAAATTCGTATCCCGAATTGCCAGGTTTGTTCTGAAATTTCCAGAAGAGACAGAAACCTCGACAATTCTCGTTCGTACAACTTCTGATGAATTTCTAGGGCCGCGACCGCGGCGTTGGTGGAGAAACAAAGCTCGGAGATGTTGGAGCTAATCAACGAGGCGAGAAGCGAATATATGCGTCAGGAGAGCCTGTATCTCGACGAAGGGGATGGTTATACCCAGGAAGCACCGCCTATGCCTTATCCGTCGCGAGCACCACCCCCGCAACCTCCAGCCCTAGCCAAGTATCACATCTACAATGATCCTCTGGAGTTTGCTGACATGGATCAGATAGCTATTTCGGTAAGCCAGCTGATCTCCCTTTCAGCCTTGAATCCTGCTGTAAATGTAATATCGACGAGCCTAGCCACGCTTACAACCTCGGAATTTTAAACGATCCTTCGTATCCGCCGCCATATTTTCATATATTCCCTGCCTTTATCCGATCTGCGTGCACGACCAGTCCATCGGTACCTAATCGATTTACGATCATTCTTTCATTCAACCCCTAACTTTACCTACCACTTTCAGTGATGGCCATTTTTACGATCGAGGATAGAGCTGGTTAAGGGGTGACTCGTGAAATTACACACTGTTAAAGTTTAAGGACACTTTGGATAATTCTAACGTATCAAGGGTTGTTCGGCTACCTTTAACCCTTCTGTTTTCCTTCCAATTTAATCAGGTAGCTCAAGAAGACCAGAAAACGTTCACGGATTTAGTGCGACAGTTGGTGAGCAGATGCGGATCGGATATAGAAAAAGCTAGGACAATATTCCGATGGATCACCGTGAAGAATTTGAACACCATGCAGTTCGACGAGAATCTGCGAGGAGACACGCCTATGGGTTTGCTCCGGGGGATCAAACACGGGACGGAAAGTTACCATGTTCTCTTCAAACGACTGTGCAGGTACGGTTTCGATCCTTATTTAATTATAAAAACTTGCAAACAGTTGTTCGGCAGGGTTTCTTTTGATTTCACAGCTACGCAGGTTTGCATTGCGTGGTGATAAAGGGTTACAGCAAGTCGGCCGGGTATCAGCCAGGGGTTTGTTTCGAAGACAATAGATTCCGTAACAGTTGGAACGCGGTTTACGTAGCTGGTGCGTGGAGATTCGTTCAGTGTAACTGGGGGGCACGACATCTCGTCAATGCCAAAGAAGTTCCTCGTCCTGGTCAACCGAAGGCCAAGAACGATAGTCTCAGGTGAATCTTTTTAAAACAATATTTGTCTATTCAAACTAAATAGGTAATTACTCAATCTATAATAATGATCCACAGATACGAATACGACGATCATTACTTCCTGACCGATCCACGCGAATTCATATACGAGTTCTTCCCTCTTCAAGAGGAATGGCAATTGCTGAAGCAACCGATTTCTCTCAAAGACTTCGAAGAACTGCCTTTCGTCCGATCGTTGTTCTTCAGGTAAACTGAACAATTATTTAAATTATGTAACCGGTCGGTTTGATCTGCAAATGTTTGTCTAGTTAATTTCTCCTTGCACGTTCCGTTCGTGCACCATCCAGCGGAAACAAAAAGAGACGATTTATGTAAATTTCGACAGGTACGGTCTTTACTTTCCGGATACGAACACGAATGCCGTTATGTACACGGATTCAACGGGTGCTGCGACCGTCAGGATAGCCATGCCGGCACACATGCAGTCGTCCCTGATTTTCCACTACAATTTGAAATTTTACGACAACGACGGCGACGGATACGACGGTGTGTCGTTGAAGCGATTCGTCATGCAGGTAATTCGCGGCCAACAACTTCTTCGGGGGGGGGGTCAAACGAAAAAAACACTTTTTTTTTCCCACGACATTTCTACGGTTAATTACACGGACAACATCATATTGGTGTTAAACTAATTAGGAAAATACGTTGAAAGGAGGAGATACTTGATGAGAAAGTTTTAAGAGTCAAAGCTACTAATTAATTGCTTGAAATTGAAATTAATTGACCAACGAGAGGAACTTGCGATACCGCTCACCGATTATTGACGTTTGATATTTGCAATAATAATAATAATAATAATAATAATGTTTGCCAATATCGAACCCTATTTGAAGAGTTCAAGTTTTCTGAAAATCGATGGATGTAACGGTTAAAAAATGTCTGTTCACAGTCTGTCGTTGGGAATATAGTCGCGTTCCGGGTACACGCCCCATGTTCGGGGGCTTTTCTTCTCGATATATTCGCAAACGCTGTAACGCCCAAAGAATACTTAACCGGCGAGCCCATGAAGTTCAAGAGCGTGTGCAAATTTAAGATCGCCTGCGAGGAATTGCAAACAGTTATGGTGCCATTACCAGACTGTGCGAGCGGGGAATGGGGTCCCACGAAAGCCACCAGACTGTTTGGCCTCATACCGATTACTCATCAGGTACGTACGAGTCACCTATCATTCAAATTCACTTATATAAAGTTAATTGTTATTTATTTTTTTGTTAAATATAATCACAGGAAGCTTTGGTGTTTGCTGGTCGCGAATTAGAGATTCAATTCCGAATGTCGAGACCCTTGACCGATTTCATGGCGACGTTGCATAAAAATGGAATCGAAGAGAAACGATTATCCAAATACGTGGCGCATTCGATCGCCGACGACGACATGGTAACTTTCTTCATCAACTTCCCAGAAGAGGGTCAATACGGTCTGGACATTTACACCAGGGAATCGACCAGCCCCGCCAATGTACCTCACGACATCACCGGTGAAAAACATTTACTCACGCATTGCTGCAAATATCTGATCAATTCCAGTAACAGGAATTAACAAGTATCATCTTGGAAGATCATCTCACGTGATTATGGACTAAAAGGTGCTGCAAGTTCTTTTCTCGAGTGACGTGTAAGAACTAATTCGCGAGATTAGCCTTTGCTTGCCAGTTAAAGTACACTTAAAGGTGACGAGCATAAAAGGTGGTGTTGAAGAAAGCAAAGAAACGGTACAATTGCTTCTTTCTTTTTTTTTTTTTTTTTTTTTTCATTTTGAAAGGTGCAAAGAACTTTGAAAGACGTAAGAACAATTCCGAGCCGACGCGCTACCTCCACGTTCTTTGTAGTTTAATAACGATAAGCCTGTTGTGCGAGTCTGGGTCGCGATCGACCCGGCCAGCATCGTTCGAGGGTTAATCGTTCGTCGATTTTTCCACGTTTCGATCGTTTTGTATCGTTTGTGTTTGTTCTCGCGGGAAAGTTGGCAATTAAAAGTTAACCAGCTTTGCGGCTCCCTCTGACCGAATTAATCAAACTTTCTCGCCTGGGCTCGAAGCATTAATCCCAATTATCCCGAGCTCGTTTTAATTCAATCCCGGGGATCCCGTTTTGTCCCGTTCGTTCGAGTGGTTGCACGGAAATCGGATCAACAATTTATTTGATCGCACGAGGTGCTTTGTGTATATAAAGTATGCACACGATCGTTTCAATTTTTTCTTATTTTAATAAAGTCGACATTCTCCTTTCGGTGAATACGCGTGCTTTTATACTATTTAACGATGATTCACGTGTAGCATTCCTTTCTCTTTTGTTGCAAACGATCGTTACCGCAAAATTATGCTTGTTCTCGATGATGAGGATGATATCATGGGAATACGCGATCTTTCAGGGATCGTTTTAGGTGTAAAAGGCTTTTAAAAATGTACAATTTTGCGGCCACGATGGTTTTTCAAGTTCAGGTGCTATATATTGCTAGCTGCACGATTCTAGTTATTCCTTCTTTACAAAAAAAGCGTGGAAATGCTAAATTTTTTATATATACAACCTATGAAAAATTTTTTTTGTTCAAGTAATTTGTTCGAACGCTTTGGAATTTCCACGTTTTTGATAGTGTAAGAATCACAAGTTACGTCGAGACCCAAGGAAAATTGTTTCTATCATTAATAGGCTATATAATTGTTAATTTTTGTAATATTAATATTATTTTTCTTTGTCTTTGTTGTTATTTGAAATTATAACGACGCTTGCGTAAGAATGCTTTCTCGATTCGCGTGGAATAAAGTATAACTCGAGCTTAATATTATCTCATTGTTTCTATGTAACGAGCATGTAAATTAATTTTTATACATATTACAGATGTGTAATAACTCGTGTTATTGTAAAAAAGCAATTAATAAAATCTAATTTTGTGGAAATCCAGTAATATTTCTTTAAACAATTTACTTAACTAAAAAGAAATAATGGAAATATAATTCTTACCTTTTCTACTGACGATTGTAGCGTATTCAAAATTTCCCGCTATTAGTTGATCGCGTCCCCGTCAGGCGGCAGCAGTTCCCACAGTTCTTTTTCCGCGCCAAAACGTGGTCGGTGCCTGCGTAGTAAAACGTGTTAATTAAAACATTAATTCGTCGCAAAGTACTTAAAAACGTATCGATGTACGAACAAACGCGAAGTTTTATTCGTTCGAATGTAAATTCAGTGCCCTGGTCAACTATTTGCTGCGAATTCAGATGAAAGGTTAATCACGCCCCATGAACGACAACGAGACCGGTGAGTTTGCCAACTTTTTACGTCATAACTTTAAAATTACACTTTGATAGAACGAAATATGGTCATAAAAGTTGAACACCATTACCAATGATTACTATTCGATCAAAGAAGCAACGAATACCGATTCATACTTTTCGAATTCCAAAAAATATTAACTTACGTATTCCCGTACTTCTTCCGTCCGCCATTGCACTTTTATCTCACGTGGTCGCGCTTGAAATACACTCGTAACTGAAATTCCGTTCATAGCTGACCGCATTACGATGTTCTCTTATAATTATGAAAAATTTCACGACCGTACGTTTATTAAATGTCGTTTCCGGTTTGTCGTGTTTCGTATGTGCATACACGGTCCGACGACACGGGCATATCGTAGATATACACGTTCTCGCTGATGCTTGCACACAGTGTGTAGGGCTTTGGAAAATCAATTTCCAACATTTACGAGCAATTAATAGAGTCGAAAGCGGCCAGACGGTTATCGATTTTCCTGATATCTGATATTAGAGGAACGTGTTTGAAAGTTAAACGTCCACGGCGTCACGTGACACGTCGTGGCGCCGCGACGCCGTTATACGATGCATACGAGACAGCGCGCTCTGTCGGTATATGCGATAAAATTATACTTTATAAAACACTGCCCTCTGCACCGAAAAACCGACTGCCCTCTTGCACTATATGTATAGAATTCTACTCTCTCTCTCTCTGTATGGATTTACGGATACATATTTATCAGCAACCTGAACGATTTATTCGCTGAACCGTGCGACTAGCACGATTGCATACCGTGATCAGTATCTAGAAGAAAATTCGTCCAGAATATAGGTTACTTTAACTTTCTCAAGTTTAGGTGTTGAAAAACTATAATTTAAAATAAATCTTTTATTTTTTAACGATTCATTTTGCATAAGTACTTATTATTCGTCCAAACGACAAGTTTGGAAGCGAAAAGAGGGGGGATAGCTAAAACTTATTTTCTTTCGAAGCCGCTAATTAAATAGCGACCAATTCTGGCTGTCCCTTTAGCGGCAACTTCCGGAATACGTCCAGCCGGAATTGGACGGGGACGGGAAAAAAGTTTTTCTATCTCGAGCGCCACTTCGTGATTTATAGCCGGCTAAATGGGCCATTGTAATTGCAGATGAGGCTATTTACTATTGTCGTTTGTATTATTGTAAATGACAGCGAAGACGGTACACGAGAATGGTATCGCTGTTAACTGAAACAATGGCTTTTCGTCATCGGAATGTCTCGTACTAATAATTTCAGCAGACGAGTTAGGAAATATTAATGAATTTTTTCTGAATTTAAGATTGATTTATGTTAACGACCAAGTTCGTACCTTTTTGTCAATCTTTGGCATCGTTACACGTAGATTTCGCCCCACGTTTTAATTTACTTATCGCACGTTCTTGGTCATGAGAATGTCCTTGCCAGCGCAAATGTTTGCTCTTCAGCGAGCAAACTATAGTTTTGCAAGATAAATATTTTTCGACATACTTTCACCAAACAGGCGTCCGAGAAATTCGTTAACTCTTTCCTACAGGCGTGTTTAAATTTTTTAAGTGCAATTTGCATTTTTTGCAAATTTGCAATTTCCAGTTCGGTTCTCATCGTCGGATTAGGGAAGGCAGAGGTGGTGGGCGGGTGGCGGGCAAAAATGGTGCTCTCTCGAAAAGGCAATAGCTTTTACGCGAGCGTGCGAGCGTGTATTTCAAGCGGACGGTGTCGTCCACGAACGACGGCCACTCCTCCGTTCGGGCCTCCGCGAAATTTTAATGCGCTCGCGAAGAAAAAGTTGCCAGAGACGTGAACGCGAGCCTCTGATCCCAGCACGACAACAATCGACGATAAATAAACCTTTGTACAAGGTGGGGGACCAGGTTCGCAATTATTCGGAGGTGTGCCGGGGATGAAGGGCACGGGGATGCGTCAACTTTCGCGAGAATCATACTATATGACCGAGGTTGTTACCGCGGATGCTTGATGGGAGATTGAATGTAACGTTAACCGGGACCCCTTCCTGTGGGGGTGGAAGAGTATCTCTTGCTTGGTATAATTCACGGGTTGAATGTTAAATGGCCTCTGTGCCCGGGGATTTGGAAACTTCTTCGAACAATAATCCAATTTTTAATTATTCAGATTTCAAAAACGGTTCCACTGATTGCAAAATGCAACAAAACTTTTCTAATCCGCGTTTCGAGATATGCCGTATAATACGAGGGCAACCCCCCTCGCGCCTTGCCGAGATAGCGAAAGAGCAAAGGGAAAACGTCGTTCGGAGGGTTGTGTGCGTCGGAATATCGGGCATCGAAGTGGCGCGATGTTTTCGAGGGTGGCGTGACCACGGTACCGTGAGTCACGCGCGAAACGACTTTAACCCCCGCCGCGATCCTCGCGAATCCGACGCCGACGTCGGCGTCGTTTATTTGTAATACCCACGGCACGATACGACCGCGTTCACCCTCCTCGTCCTAGATAAGACCGCGTTTTCACGCTTCGCCATAGACATACATAGATATTTGACGTTGCATACCCACGGACGGTTCATTCTTTTTCTCCCCCTTTTTTATTCGTCTGCAACGATTCTGACAGTCGGTGAGTAGACGAAATCGAACGGTGCATTATTTATGGGAAGTGGAAGTAATCTGGCACGTTTACGAGTTTCGAGATAGGGGATGATAATTAGCGTTGGGTAGATCTGCCTGCTTTGGGGGGTTACACTCTGCTTATTTTTTCATTCGAAATATCTGTTTAAAACGTAGAGATGTGTTTTTCAAATGATACAACATTTTTGTATCGTGGCTTGAAATTTGATTATCAAAAGAACTTTGTTCTGTTGCATAAAAATTCAAAGATCGAGTTTTATAATCAAGCTTGATTCGTGATATTTTAGATGGCACGGATTTTTCGTGCTTCTAAATAGACGTGTATCATCAGGTTTGCTTTCAAACTGGCTTGCAGCTAGCATAAACAGATTGAAAAATAAATATTGCTTTATCTGATGTACGCAATGTATACGTTTGCTCGCTGTTTTATTTCTAAGTTATATGAATTCTAAGGGGAAAAACAGGCGAATTAAATATTGGCCTGATTCGTGAGGAACTAAAAATTGTAGTTAAATATTTCGACGCTTTCGAGAAGTATTTTCTCCAAGTTCCACGCATTTGTCGAGTATAGGAAAACGAGATAAAGATTCCATTTCCCTTTTAACCTGAAATACGGCTCCCTTATATCTCCACGATTATTTATGTTTCGATGCATAAACCGAGCTCAAAGCTCGGTTACTTAATAAATAATCGTTTCATATAGGATTTCCGCCAAGTCGCATCCCCTTAAATCATCATTAAAAATAAACGCGGGTCATAGAGATCCATGCTTGAGCTTGCGGAAAAGAGATTCTTCAAATTAAGTAAACCGAAGGAAGAATCTCGTAGCGTAAAATACACAGGTGGATAAATAAATGAAATCTCTGCTCTCCTCTCTTTCCGTTTTCTCTCGACTGAAGAAACAAAATCATAAAATTCAGTTTTTATCTCCCTCTAGTAAATCGATGATTAAAAACAGTTTTTGCGGGCAGTTATGTTTGAATAACAAATACCTCCTCGTTTTTAATTAATAGCATACGGATCGAACAGAAATTTATTCGTAAAATATTTTGCCGGTGCGGTTTACCGAAATTTCTGCTATGTATCATTTCTATCTTTTATTTGTGAAATTTGTTGCCTTTAATAGTTATTCAGCTTTCACTTTTTGGAAAATTCGTCGATTTTCAGGCTATTTATCGTCCCACGTAATTTTTCATCGGCTCTATTCACGATCGAAAGGGGTGAGAAGCTCTCTCGATTCTCCTATCCACGCAGAAAACCGCCCCTGTTATCTTTGACCGGTTCGAGTATCGGCTGCACCCGATCGCGAACGAATCCCAGATCGATCCGATCGATTGTTCGCGGATTCTCTCGATTCGTACGACGATAACGCATCCGTTTCCTCGTCGTGGCCACGAATTTTCTTTCGAGTCGTGTCAGAATGGAGCTTAGAAAAAGCTGCGACCGCGATTGGACCGCAAGATTGCACCCTGCCGAAACGAAGCGTGCGTGTCTCGGATCGCACGGACCTTTTCCTCTCCCTCGGCAATCTTTCCTCACTTTCTTTTCATCCAGCTCGTTCGGACTGTTCTTGGCAGCGGCGGCAGATGCTGCCGGAATTTCAGCGATCGCTGCTGATAAGCTGGCGAGAGGAAATAGAAAACAAGAAGGCTCGCTCCTTTGTGTGGTAAAGCAGATGCGCCCCGCCGCTTAGATAGCGACGAAGAGGATTTCATTTTACGCTATCTAAAATGTTAAACATCCAAGAACTACTATCGTCCACGAAAAAATAACCCTCGAACAATTATGGCGCAAAGGGTATAGAACGTACGAAGGAGAGAGCAGGAAGAATATTAAATTAATGAACACGTTCGTTGATGCCGCGTGACGGGGCTGTTAAAAATTCTAAGACGCTCGTTGGTTGGCTACGTGGCTCGGATGAAGTCTATTTGGCCGGTCGTCACGACGGCATTATGCAAAAACGAATCTTATTTTCCGGCTAATAGCGAGCCACGGGGAAAAACGGGGCACGCCTTCCTGGTCACTATTA